GACTGAGGCGTCCCTCCTAGTTGCATGCTGTGTATGTGTACCTGCTTCGCCTGGTGCTTCGCTCTCATCGAGGAGTTTCCGTGTTACCACGCTTTCGATGTTCCCGGATCCTATGCCAAGAACGACTTCGCCGCCTCGTCCTGCATAGAGTAAGGGTCGTGGAAGGCTTGAACGTGCGCTGTGTCGCTCACGACGGTCATTTGCGCAGGTCTTCACCTTTCTCGTGTATAGTCGTGTGAATGTTTTCTTCAGGAACATCTGTGCATTGTTAGTCAGGAACGAATCAGAACTGGTTGAGCAGATGCTCGTACGTTTGGATACTGACTCGGTGACATCGGCATCGATTGGTAGCTTCGGCTTATCCAAGGATGCTCGCGGGGGTTGCAGGTCGTCACATGTCACGCTTGTGTTTTCGGACACTTTCAGACCCGTGGACAAGAGGCTGCTTCTGGACGAGCTACCACCAGCATCTACGTCTCGACCAGGCTCTCTCGGTGACCTCGGGTGGAAGGGCGATGTGTCACCAAGGCACAGAGGTTGCGATGCCTGGATGCCGCGAAGCCCCGTGTTGCTTGAGACTTCTTGAGTCGGTATAGCCGGATTCACAGCCGCTCCGGTTGCTACGTTCTCAGAAGCAGCAACTACCGTACCACGCTGTGTCGGGTCCTGCTCAACATATGGATGCCCAGGCGAACAAGAGATGATCCTAGGGTTAGGCCTGAAGGGCTCTGGCTTGGACGCCCTGGCTTGCAGGGGAGGTTCTGCCGGTGCTGTTGCTTTAGCATAGATACCTGACGACTGCAAGGGAAACGCCCATGGGCTGACAGGCGAAGTTGACGACTCCGTGTGCGTAAAGTTGTTCTCCTTGAACCAAATCCAGTCAAGAGCGGTGCACGATCAATCTTGAGGAAGGACTCACGGATGTCGATGCCATAGCGCCGTAATACCTAAAGCGGCTGTAATCCGTACCCTCAGAGTCAGTCGCAGGTAAGCCGTCGCTATCAGCCGGCTCGAAGGTTAACCGAAGCGGCTTCTCTCCTTGTCACCAACTTATGGTCGTGTTCGCTCAGGATGTTATCTCGCTTTCTGCTGGCCTTTGCCGTGACCCTGAAGCAGTGCTCCAAAGCAATTCTGCGGGCAACGCACATCATATAGATTTGGCTGGTTGGTGCTTTTTCCCAAGTCTACTAAGTGTTTAACCTTATTACGACTGACCTAGTCTAAATCTTCGCCTCCTGGTTGAGCAGCTAGTCCATCTCTACCTACGCGCACCGCACGTTCGCTGAGATCGTGTAAGCCAGACAGTACACTAACCTCCGATAGTGGGCATCGGTGGATGTGACGCTGTTCTCACAAGAGCTTAGCGCTTGGATTCCAGCTCCAAATCAGTTGACTACACCAATCATGGTTAGCCGCTTTCACTCCAAACTCATGCAGGTCCGTATAGGGCACTGCTTCTATAATACTGTTAACTAAACTAGGTATTTAATATCTAGATTTATAATATTAATAACGTTCCTTCTCCTATAAAGCCGTAATTACCCTGGCGGGACTTCCGCGTCCGGAGAGGGGCGCATCTGCGTCGGGAAAGGGCGCGTGCCTCGGGGGCTCGTGCGCGGGAATTGCATAACTTTTCGCGCCCCGCTGGCCTCGCTTCCTCTTTCTCTTTCCCTTCGCACCTCGTGCGCCCGCGCTGTTGTCCCCCTCTCCATCCCTCGCCGTCGGACTTTACTAACGACTCGTACTGGATCCCAGCTGCGAATTGTCCTGAGCGCGGTCGTAAGTCGTGCTGGCCACGTTCGCTGCGTTGGCCTCGCTAATCGCTCTTGCAGTAATTCCACACGCATTCTCGCCCTTCTGAGAAACATCACATCGACCCCAATCGCCCATCCCTGAGGTTTCCGTCTCTCTAGGCATGAGCTTGGTGCGGCTGAGCTGTGCCGCCCGCTCGACTGAAACAAGTGCTCTCTTCCACCTATCGACCTTACGTGATCTCGCCAGCACCGCCGCGCTAGCGCATTACGACGGGTGACGCTGCCCCGGCCATGCTGAGGTAGCATTGCGGTTGCTGCATGTGCCGAATTGCCGAGGTGTAGAAGAGCAGCGAATCAACGCGAGCTTTACACCCATTGTCGTCCAATGAGACCTGCGCCTTTGCATCCCTCGCCAGGATGTCACCACATGCCCGTGTGCACGAGTGCAACGGCAACGGCAGTATCTGGGTGTACCATGAGCGTCGACATGACCACTCTGCCTCAGGGAGCCGGACCCCCTTTACAGTTGCGCTCCACCGATCACGCGCATTCCTTCTGCAATTGCCGGAAGCTTTACGAGCTCGCTATTGGCCTGCGACTGAGATTGGTTGGGGCACTAAATGGCTGCGCCTTGCTCAAACCGCTACTGCGTGGTCGGCTGTGCATGAGCAAGGAGCAGAGAATAGCGCATTCCATATTGGAGTCATGAACGAGGCGGAGCACTACGACACTTTGGTAGCGTGAAGGCTGTTTCAGGCAACAGTCCCTTGTCCAGAGCGCGCTGGCGGCACATTGCAGGCGCATTCGGAGGCTTGATATCGGCATCTTGACTGGTCAAGATTGAGTTCACTAGGCCCGCACGTCTCAGCTGAGCTCGCTTCCACGATGATCTAACAGGATTATCTCGCACCACATGGAACATGTTTGGCTTCTCAAGACTTCTGTGGGGCAGCTCATTAAAATCGCGGGCTGTGTTGCGTGCGCGCATGTAAGTAGCAAAGAGTTGGCCATCGGCCGGCTGAAGACAGAAAAGTAGTGGTTACTGATCTCAATCAAGACTGCATTGTGAGAAGCTTCCTCCTCCCAGCCCGGACCAAACGCTTTGACTGCTTCTACGGGTACAACTGCAATCTATACTACCTGGATTCCTCTCCCATCACCTGTCCTCACTGACCCCCGTCTCGGAGCAAGTTCACTTCAATGCAGACCACGTCTTTCTGGGCTGCACCTTACGAAAGCAGGTGCCAGAGCCTCGTTCACTTCAAATCGTTCACAGCAGAGAACTACAAGAAGATCAAGCAGAAGGAGCATCAGAAAGTGCATAATTTAAGACTCAAGAGCCAGCATGATTCTTCAAACAACGGTTACGACATCATATTTCAGGCTGGCGGTACGAATGCCGCGCTGACGAGTGCTGTCGGACGAGGGCTGGATGCTGGGCACGACTGTGTTTTGGAGGCATCTGCATTGTCCCAGACTGAAGGTGGCCATGAACACGAGTCCGCAACCTCGCCAGGTCTCCTGCTGGAGTCTCCGAGCGTTTCACTAGGGCTGGACGAGGGTGTCACATCCTTTGTCTCCGTTCTCAATGACCAAGAAGTCGCAAATTCACCAAAAAATTGCTCTGAACCATCAGTAGCGCCTTCTCACCTTGGACATGCCTTCTCAATGCTTACCAACGATGAGTTTGAAATGGACAAAGGAGCGACCTTGCCAAGAGAGGCCGCTCTCAAGGCACCGGAGTCTGGCATAGATCCTGCTGATGGATGTCTTTCAAATTATACCGACCTGAATCGAGGATCGGATCCGGACGCGCATGCCGCCTTCGCATCTTCGACGTTATCGGACAGTATGGACTTTGGCGAAACTCAAGTGACCACTGTCATAACAGATGCTGAGCACACAAACGGTAGCTCCATGTTGCTGCAAGCCTCACAGACCTCTGTCGAAGGGTCACTTTTCTTAAACGAGGACACAGATCTCGGCCAGGAGTGGACGCAGCAGAAGGACAGCTTGCTGCACCATTTACGAAGCACGGCAGGACTACCTTGGTCCAGGATCGCGCTGTACTTCCCGCATACTAGTAGTTCGGAAGTACGGCGTAGATTTGCTGAGCACTTGGCAGCCGTGCCCGAGCATGAGAAGAACGTCCACCCGCCCGAGCGAAAGAGGGGTCGTCCGCGGAAGTGCGATCACCCTTTAGCTGGAACCGGACAACGCCGACGGAACCTAGCTGAAGCCGACGCGTCTCAGTCATGTTCTACGCGACGGTATGATCGATACGTCGGGGTTCTTACTTTTCGAGCCTCAGCTAACCGTTTCTTACAGCGGTTCTGATGGCTCTCGTGCTAGCCCTGGTCTCGAGATCCCATCGTTATCAAACCACCCATCTCTTGCAAAGCGACGAGGTCGCAAGCGAAAGGTGACTCCCGCTTCAAAATTTCAGACCACGAGGTCTTCGAACACACCAATTTGGACTGTAGATCGAATCGTGGGAACTGTAGAAATCAATGGCAGACAGCACTATAGAGTTCGATGGGAAGAGACCTTGGAGCCTGTTGAAAACTTGCAAGGATGTGCGAACACTGCTATAGCGGAGTATCATCTACGACACGTACTCTAGAATGTCGAAGTCCTGCATATGAGCACTATCATATAGGTTTCTCTGGCATAATGCAGTGTCGGTTCCGAAGGGCTCCGCTTCAAACAATTCTGCACGAGACACATACCGATGACAGGCTTGGATAGTGTGGTCTGCAAATTTCTAGCCATTGTTCTGGCTGTGACATGAAGCTCGATGTCATTGAGACTCACGCAAGTCATGCGCACTATACCGAGCTCATGGCCAGACTAGTGAAGTAATCCTCAGGCCACGACTCGACGCCAGCCCTCCCGTCGGATCTGATCTCTCAAGCATCAGTGACAGGTCAACTGACGTTAATTATTCACGGACTCAAATCGTATGTATCTCGATCTATTGGATCGAAGCCTATGCAAGTTCTGGAACCACCGCACTTGTATTCTGCAACGTTATCATTATATACCCCTTCATCCGGCACTTGCCCTGTCCACTCCTAGACTTCCATGTACTCCTCCAAATTACGGTTATCATCCAACTAGAGCCGTTGTGAAAGACGTTCACGTTGCTACAGCTGCTCTACTGAGCTGCTCCACCTGCTTTACTTGTTGATCTTTCCCTGTAAGAACGCTCTCACTGTTACCCGCAGGTTGAGTGAAGCAGCCTGTATTGAGAGCAACGAAGAACGATGTTTATGCAAGGCAACATTTAGGCGAGGGTGAAGAGCCTATCTTGGGCTCATTGTTTGACTCCTCTCAATGTGTGAGATGCATCAAGAAGTCTGCTCAATGGCTCTGCACCGTAGTTCCTCTGCTGCTCCATTTGCTGCTTACTATCCTCGCTCTGCTTTTCCATTTGCCGCCGCAGCTTGTCTATCTGCTCCCTGCTGTCTTTTACTTGCCGCTCCAGTTGCTCCCTGCTCTTCGAATCCTGCCTTCCCAGCCGCTCCTTGCTCTTCTTTCTTTGCTATTGCAGCTGCCGTAGGCGCTCATTTATCTGCTCTCTTATCTCGCGAGTCTCCTTCCGAAGGCAGACGCTTGCAGGCTCGCCAGATGTCTTGAAGTGAGATGCTGGGCTTGAAGGCATGAGGCGGCGAAGGTCTACAATGTTTCAGACTTCGCGAGCTACATCCGAGACCTGTAGCCAAGCACACCAAGCGACCACCATTTCCTCGCTGGCGATCGAAGCACTTTGCACCGTTGCTCTTCCTCCGAGGAGTGGAACCAGTATTGCCCGACGATTTCTATCGCTTTGGTGAAATCTCATCTTCGTGGCAAGGAGCGAAATGAGAATCGCACAAGGCACCAAGATCTGAGTCCTCGTGTTCAGATATCCAGCCTTTATGGCCGGTCCAATCACCTAGTTGCCCCTGTTGAGCAACGCAAGTCTTTGGCTTGAAGCTTAACCTCGTCTGTAATTCATCTATTGATTGTTTGGACATAGGTGTATGGAGAAACATCCCCCCACACAGAATGTCCGTGTCCGCACTCAGAAGATTGACTGCCAGAGGGCCTTGCCCGTACGCAAAAAGTAGCGACCTTCTCTGTCAGCCCACATGAACACATGTGTTATGATAGCGACTGGGAATGCCTTGACTCCAGTACATTGCATCCTATTCCCATCAAGCCTTTACAGCGGTGAAGGTGATGGTGCCTCTGCCAAGCATGGGGCTCCACGTATTCCTATGGTCCTCATGCGGACCACGACATGGATTGCGAGATCTCACACTCACGGGCGAAGAGCACATCGGAGATCTGGGGCGATGTTCCGTATTACCAGACAAGCGTCAAGACTGGATGGAACGTAGAGATATTGGCCACCAAATGCTGTAGGACGACATTCGTCGCCAGACTCTATGGGAAAGAGATGCGCGATATTGTAACCTGTAGACATAACTATTGTCGACGCCGTATTACCTGTGTGTCGCTTTGAAGTGCTTCTCGTCTCGTTGAATTTCCTACTAGTCGACCGAGCGTAAGTTATTTGCATGTTCCAGGCTGCTCGTCCTAAAGGGGAGCGGCGAATGGTCGTCTGTGCATCTTCTGTCCTATCAATCGCCTGCTTCTAGGCAGGGTCGAAGTCTTCTGGTCGAAGTAGCTGGACGTGGGTGAAGCGATCTCGCGCCCTTGGTCTAGAATCGCATCCCAACAGACCAAGCCATAATAATGGGAACAGTAAGATCTAGGCTTGACATTGATCGCACGTCTCATACATCTGCGGGATGGGTAGGTCACGAAACTATAAGACCCTTCAATCCGCGACGTGAGAGGCGCAACAGCCCGACATTTGCCCTCCTCCCGTAGTTAACCATCCACAAATTATGGCGTCGCTCTTTGATATTATGAACTTCCAGCAACAAAAATTTTGCCATTGCTAGGACCGATCCTTGGTATGCGTCAGGGGACACGAAGAGGAGATGTGCAATCTATGCTAGTACGGAGACCGCAGCCGTAATACGCGCGGGTCGGTATCATGCTCGTCGCTTGATCCCTTTCTGGTGCCGCTCAACCTTCGATATCCGGGGTTCCCAGCGCCGCTATGGAAATACGAGGTCGCGAGCATTAAATTATCAGTCGCGGAAAGTCGCAGCCCAGAAGATATCTAGCAGCTCGACCTCGGCCGCGACAACGTTATGTGAGCTACCGCCAGTGTCCGCCATCCTCACTGCCTCCTCATGCTCCCTCCTAATCAGATTGACTCGAGGAAGTGACACCGAGTTCGTCGGGCCGACCTTGCATCCTTAGATGCTGGATCCGGAGGATGCCCACGTAACAATGTCATAGATGTCGTTCAGTATCGTAGCTAAAGAAGTTCCGCATCACGGGACGAACCAAGGGTGGTATGACCTCCGACATCGATGTGTCGCACAGAAGCGTGCGTGGAACCGCTATTCGAGTCCCGATCAACGACGTACGTACATTAGAACGTTCGGATGGCCGTTTGTATTATACGCTCGTAGTGTCTGCTTTCTGCGTCGGACATGAGCAAATACAAGCGGGATGGATCATGATATTAGTGTGACGATGTATCTCCAACCCGTGGCCATCTCCGTTGATCAGCTTCGATGGACGACGGCCCGTCACTGTTACGAATAGACGATGGTCGTGAAGCAGAGCTTGGGCAAAGAGTACCCGTGCAGGTCTGCTCTGAGGCAGGCAACGCCATGTCCTTGGACAGTCGTGCCGTGGTTCCTGCTCCCGCGATGTAATGCCCTTTGGGGTCAGCGAGAATGAAGGCAACCTCGACAGCATGACTGCTGGCATCTGTGCCCAGCTCATTAACAAGAGATGCAAGACCCGAGCACCATCGTAGTAGGTTGTCCGGAGCTCCCCAACGCCAAGGACACCGGGACATGAGTTCCCTCCAAAAAACCGTAGTCGCTACATGTTGACTTCTTGTGTATCGCATCGAAGGATTGTGAATCTATAACACGCTAATCGCACCCTCTCAATCATGCTGAACTCAAAAATTCGAGGCACTTCTAGACTTGCCAATGCAGTGGACTTGGAAACCAAGTGCCATCAGCTTTGCTGGGTCGACAACATTCCTGCCATCGAACAGAAGCCTTGGCCGTTGCATACAATTCGCTATACGTGGCCAGTCGATTCCCTTCTTGCAAAGCCGTAGTGGTATTGTTTTTGGCTCAAATACCGGGCTTTCGGCCAGATTCTCTGCACTGCGCTCATCGCGTGAATAGTCGTCCCTTACCCAGCTACGCTCACTTGATCCTCTGGAATCTTCGGACGTACGACGTGGTACGGATACCAGCGGAACCTCTAGAACTTCCTTATCGAGCACATTTGCTACAGCACTTGGAAGTCCATCTGTCTTGAACTCGTCCCACTCCGTCAAAATGACCACGGCAGACGCGCCTTCACACGCTGAATACGGGTTTTTGTGGATGGACACTTTCTTCGCCAATGCATCTGTGTTGTGGTGTTGTGTGAGATCACTGATGATCTGGTCCGGACGGACTTCTGGATCATACACGGCGACATGCGCATTCTCTGCAATCAGCTGGCCAGCCACGTTGATAGCGGCACTCTCGCGAGTGTCTCCAGTGTCCTTCTTATATGCCCATCCCAATATGGCAATCTTCTTGCGATCCAAGGTGTTGTGCAGACTTTGGATGATCCACTTTGCGAAACGAGCTTTTGAGTATTCGTTGATGTCGACAATTCGTCTCCAGTACAAAGCGACCTCGTGGAGATTGTAACTTTCTGCAATATAGACCAGACAGAGTACGTCCTTCTTGAAGCAGGAGCCTCCGAATCCTGCAGAAGCTTTCACTACACGCCCGTATCTGTCAGTACCATTACATTCCGCAACGACGCTGTGGCAAGAAGCTTACGCATCTTCGATCCTATTCTGGTGTCCTGGCCAACTGCTTGTGCGACCTCGTCAACATCTGCGCCAGTGACCTCGCATATGGCACTCAAGGAGTTAATGCTGCTAATACCTAATGACAGAAGATTAGCCAGCTCTCAAGTTGCAGTGTCCTGCTTGCCGTGTGTTCCCTACGTTGTGCTAACATGCAGTTGGCCGCAAGCTTCGACAGTTCGGAGGACCAGCAATTGACTGTCAAAATCCGCTCTCGCGGTACCCATGCAGCGTATACGTCCGCAAGTCTTTCGGCGGCCTGCAGAGCACGCCTGTCGGTGTTCGAGCCAATCAAGATACGATCTGGACTGAGCAGATCCCGTATGGCGGTGCCTTCAGCCAGGAACTCCGGGTTGGACAGAATCTCGAAGTTGACGTCAGAGTTCTGGGCGACAGATGCGAATATGTGTCGCAATGTGTGCGCCGTACCACATGGCACAGTCGACTTCTGTGCAACAATCTTGTCCGAGGTCGACACTTCAGCGATGCGGCGAGCAGCAGCCTCGACATATGCGAGATCGGATGCACTGCCAGCACCCTGTCCTACCAACTTCGTTGGCGTGTTGACTGCGATGAAGATGAGGTCTGCGGATACAATGGCGCTGTCAATGTCGGTCGAGAAGAAGAGATTCGGAGGACGTGTTTCATGGCCACTGTACTGCTCATCTCGTGCGAACTGCACTACGTCTCGCAAACCAGGCTCAAATATTGGAAGATGGTCGGACTTCCATGCATCGATCCTTGCCTGGTCAAGGTCGACCACTGTGACTTGAATCTTCGGGTTCTGGCAAGCTATTACTGCCTGTGGGCTCGCGTTAGCACCAGACTATGGTAGGCGCAAAAGAGATGTATCTCAGGCTTACACACGTCGGTCCACCCACGTAGCCTGCACCGATGCAGCAGATACTCCTCACAGGCTCTCGTGCGCGTTGCATACTAGGGGAATGGAGGGTCAGTACTGCCTGGGACTTAGAATCAACGAGTACGAAACAAACGTGTTGATGTTTGATTCGACTTCAAACGATCCACGACCCGGTCTAAGGCAAGGAAACGTGGACTGGGCATCGCACGGCCTTACCGATATCTTCATCTGAAGGATTTGAAGTTCTCGCCACTAGAACTCTTTTTGGAACTGCAAGCATCCTTCACAGCATCACTTGGCAGACCCCGTGCCAGCCGCGTCGGCGTATCAAGACAACAGTCTTAGCTACAGTATTGGTGGAACCATAGTGCTCCAGGGCCGAGGCCGAGACTACTGTACCTTGCATTAAGCGGCCAGGAGGCTGTGCGCAGACGAACCCGCAACTTCCGCGGTGACGGCACGTTGCGAAGTCAAGCGTCTCCGCCCTGGCACGAAATTTCCTTCTCTACTGTCGTGTGCCATGGCCCATGAATACTCTTACCTCTAGGATGGATGCTACATGGTTATCGAAGGTACAGCTGGCGACACTTTGCTCAACGTGGAGCTGACCGTTCCTGATTGGGAAAGGGAATACCTGGCACTAATCTAACTACCATTGAATAATCGCATGTAGCGCTGTGAGGTCGACTTTCACCTCGGACCCGAACCTCTCACACCGCCACAAATGCTCTTCGCCACGACCGCACGTCCCCAATCAGCAATCTACAGCCCGAGCTTTATTGCCATGCTGTCTCCACCGAAGTGCCAATCAGATATGCTCCATATGTACCCAAATCATGGCACTACAGTCTGAGGGAAGAACGAATGGAACCCCTGCTAGTTGCCGAAGTAAGATCTACCAGTAAGGGCGCAGCGCCTTTTGTGCTCGAGTCGACTCTAGCACAGTGCGTTTGACAGGGGTTCCATCCGTTCTTCCCTCAGACTGTACCAATCATCTGGAGATACAGGACGCGCCAAGAGATCGAGCATGGCGAACCAGAACAGAAGATTGAGCACGGGACTTGGCAACGCAGATGGGGTAGTGCTATACAATGCAAATATCTGCGCTCTGGACTACTTCAAGCTCTTTGCCGTCGTACATCCTCCCTTATACACCGCATATCAAGTCCAAGGTCATGTACACTCCTGTCGACGTCGAGAGCGGTACCGATGCTATCTCACTTTCCGGCCGCCGCAGTCCAACAATTGCTTACCCACGGAACATTATGGACGATGTGGCTAGCACTGAGAAGCAGAGCATTGACAACATACCTAAGACGGACGTTCCGCTAGAAAGAACATATTCCCTGCTTCGAAAGGTCGTATATCTTGCGGCCTACTTCTCCTTGAATCTGGCTTTGACGATATCGAACAAGGCCTTATTAGGCAACGCAAAATATCCATGGCTGCTCACGACAATGCATGCATCTTCGACCTCGTTTGGCTGTTTCGTGCTCCTCGGCTGTGGGCACATGAAGGTAATGCACTTCACATCCATCTCAAATGTACAATGCGCTATAGAGGGCTAACGGCGATCCAGGCGAAATTTCTTAGTACACAGGAAAGCCTAACATTGGTCGCATTCTCCGGCCTGTTCGCGCTGAATATAGCGATGTCCAACGTCTCCCTTGCTGCAGTGTCAATACCACTCCACCAAATTATGCGGTCGACCTGCCCGGTAGTGACGATCGCGATCTACTGGCTAGTCTATAAACGAAGCTATTCGAGGGAGACCTATCTGTCTATGGTACCCTTAATTCTGGGTGTCAGTATTGCAACCGCAGGAGATTACTACTGTACCCTCAGCGGCTTCTTGCTTACCGCGACTGGTGTCCTCCTCGCTGCGATGAAGACAATTGCTACAAACCGGTTGGTAGGCAACTTCTCGCCAATGGAGGTCCTTCTCTACATGTCTCCACTTGCAGCGGCGCAGTGTGTGGCTTACGCATTTGTGACTGGCGAGGTTCACGAGGTCAGATTGGAATTGGCCGCAAACACTTTTCGCACGTTGGATTGGACATTCTTTCTAGGTCTGCTGGTAAATGCTTGTATGGCATTTGCGTTGAACATCATCTCGTTCCAGACGAACAAGGTGGCTGGAGCATTGACAATTTCAGTGTGTGGCAACGTCAAGCAAGCCTTGACAATCATGCTCGGAGTGATACTGTTTAGTGTGCCGATGGGACCTCTCAACGCCATGGGCATGCTCATAACGGTGGCTGGTGCTGCATGGTTTAGCAAGGTGGAACTGGACAACAGGAAGACTCGAAGCTAAAAGTGATGATACAGCTGTTGGGAGTATACGACAAAGCTGTTTTCCGCAACCGTCACGCAACGGTCAGCCTACTATTCAATGTCGTCACAAATTCAATTTATTGCAATCTGTCCAAGTGCCCAAGTAGGCCATGCCCAGGCCGGATATATATGCCGCGGCATGCACGAGAGTTCGGGCTACCGCTGCTTGCGCCACGTTTTACTCGGCACGCGGTCCGATGTCTGCCCTAGATCATGGACCATCACCTCACAAGTTCTAACTTAAGTCAATCGCTCTACTGTGGCTCAGTAAATGGAGCAGCAAAGACCTTGGCATCAGGCAAGCTTTGACACATGCCTGCTGCCAATAGCGCCCATGCGATGGTGAATATGCATGATTTGCCACGTTACTCCCACGCCACCATGACCATGGGTGTACTTACCTTTCTCACACCAACGAATGTCGTTGCAAGGTGATACGCATTGTCCAAATACGTGACAACCGTTGCTCACAAGCTTAAGCCGGCACTCCTGATCGTTGCTTTTATCCTTGCTGGATGTTCAGGATAGTAACCTATACTAACCTCAACGGTTCATCTTCTTGGAGGAAGAGGTCATGTGACAAAAATTTCCGGCGTGTCGGATCGTCTTAGGGCTCTAGACCAAGCAACCGATCAGGAACTTGTGCTTATGGTGGACGCATAATCGTGCGTTTAACCTATATGACAGTCCCTCGAATGCCTAGGCTCATCTAGAAGCACGTCTCTGGTTTCAATAACGGCCCAGAGTTCCTGCTCAGCCGACACTATACCATCAACGGGAAAGCCAGCAAGCGGTTGGGGGAGCGCTTGGGCAGGGACTTTCAGGCCGAGGACCTTAAGCAGACCATTATCTTCGGAGCTGGAAAGCAATGTGCACCTAACCAGGTACATATGGTAACTTGTTATCCCATTCCAGATGATCTGTACAATTCTGATACCGACACCATAACGGGGCCGAAATAAGTACACGAGTGTCAAACAACGCTAGTTGAACTCTGTATACATCATCGGACCCGTCCGCGATATACGAAAGATGTATTAGCGAGCCTATGACAAAGTTCAAGCCACGAAGAAACAGATAGACTAGGACAATAGCAGTCATAGCTTGGACTCATATATCCTGGTTCCGACCAATACGGTTTTGACGACATATTGGGTGAGCAAGAGTTTCAGCAAGAAGTCATGCGACGTCACCATCGAAGCCAGAGTGATGTATTGAAAGGTATTGGAGGTCGTCTCGGGGCAACGCAAGTAGAAGAATCTCTTGTTCAGGACCCTCTGAAGCCTGGCTTTACGAACAAGATGATGGAGCACAAAGATGGAAAGCCTGATGAGTTGAGCAAAATAACACGCCATCAGTGTGCTGCAGGCAACTCCCATGGACCACGACCATCACCAAATATCTCCTCATGATAATCACGACAGAGGTCGTCAAATCTGAGCCAACCATCGCTCTCGTCTCCCTCCTTCCACGACCCATCGTGTGCCCCACCTTTCCATATCCCAAATGGCCACCACTGCCTCATCGATTGAATGTCGTATCCGCTGATCGCGAAAGCAGTAACAGGATTGTATATAGAAACGTCCAGGAGAGTTCGTGCGTGCTCGTAAAACCATATCAACGGCCACCATGATTCTTGCCGAGACTTGAGACCGTGACGATGAGCATTATGGTGGATAACTACGGGAGTATTGCCCGTATAAACGTCTGTGAGTAGAGCTACATCCTCCCATCCCCGGGTCAGAGGAAGTCCTTCTGTCGAGGATGTCCAGAACGGAGGAAGAGTGGCGGAGATATCCTCTGCCAACAGGTCGACCCTTCTGGTCATGTCAGGGTGCTCCCAACGAGCTTGTGCTATTTGGCTTTGGTTCGAGAACTCCAACCAAGCGGTGTCTTCTTCAGCAAATACGGTGTTTAGCACAATCTCAGCACCATAGTCCAGGCCAATTCCAAACTCAAAATTCCCGTCCTCACGTTCAGCAGCTTTGGCGCGGACTTCCGAGATATGCTCTTCAACGAAGTCCACTCTGCCTCGATGACCTTGCTTCGCATAGGGGCGTGTTTTCTGCTGGGTCAGTACTGCATCCCGTCTGACCGCTTCTCGCCATATCTCCTGGTCGCCAAAAATATGCGAGAAGATGTACTGGTCACTGCCAATATTTGGTTCTTCGTGGGCCTGCTTGAGAGCTTGTCCAAACAATTTACGCATAGCTTTGACAGGCCCAATAGCTGTGCCTGAATTGAGAAAGCGCGGACGATAGTTGATAAAAGGATTGTCGTCGCTGGCTGGAGTGTCCGTTCGTGTGCCATAGACATCTTCTGGAAGCGTAGAATTGGGGACGGCATAGCACGGTGGATCGTTCGGTGTCCAGGGCCAGCAGCGTTTCTGACATCCAAATATGATTTCCTGTCGAGCTTGGTTGGCAGCAGAGCCCATTTCCGCACGTGTACGAGTATCAGCCATTTTGTTGAGATGATAGTAGCGGTCAAGGAGGGTCTGTGCTCGTAGTTGCAGCCATACATCGTAGCCGTCGAGCATTAGTACGAGGTCCTCATCGTGAGAGGTATCCAAGCCAGTGACATAATCGTAGATACCTGAAATCTTTGCCAAATGTGATCCACCTTCAACAAGAGAGTTGTCGTTGAACTCTTGGTTCCAATTTATAATGAGTGGACTTGGGTAGCCTAAAACAGAGGCGCTGAGGAGAATCTTGCACAAATTCATATCAGGCCGAGAAGCCGGGATCAATATATGAAGATGAGCTGGAGATAAGAATGTCATCTTCACTGGCGTGTCTTGCATCACATTCAGAGGCTGCAATAGTTAGCATGGTGTTTGTGTGGTTGAGGGGGGTTTTCTACCATCATAAGTTGACGCCCAAGTATGACAAGCGCAGTCAATAGTACGATGACCTGAAGGCCTTGTGATTGTACCAAGCCTCGCCATCCTCTAATGTGTCGTCCATAACCTAGAGACCAAGACACATCTGTGGAGCGACCTGTAGTGCTAGAGGCAGTCATGTTTTCTCAATACAAGCCAAAAGTCTGTAGAATCTCGTTGAAAAGGGTACACTGGTGGCTTCACGCGTCAACCAGCGAGAAACATAGGGCCCAGGCACTTGTCATGCTGCACGTAGGGCTGAAGAGATATACAGCGCCCTTCCTGGGGGCGAACCTTTCCGAGTGCCCAGCTGCTATCATGGCCGCCAGTCACAGCCATTGACGTTGACATTGACTGTGGCCCAGCCACACCTCAATCCGCGGAGCAGGCTTGGCGCCACATCGTCATGATGTCAAGGCTTCACATAGCCAGCAGTAATGATATCATGTTGGTCGGAGGTTTCCAGGAACTCAGCCTTGAAACAGGTACAGAAAGGCCCGGGTCCACGCAGCGACGGGCAGGTCCAGGTTGCATTCTAACGATCGCCATGAGCCAACTTTTTCCCTCCTCGGGATCTCTTTGCCCTAGCTGTGGCAATGTGATCTCAGTGCGCATTAGACATTCGCTGCCAAGAGAGAACGGCTAGGATCTGCCGAAGTATAAAGTCTTAAACCAAAAGCTTTTAACTTTATGTATGTAACTTACTACATACTTCGGGAATTAAAACATAAGGCAAATAACATTTCTTATACCTTTCCTTCTTCTTTCTTTCTATATAAGACTACTTATTATAATTTGATACAACGCTTGTAATATCTAATACCCGTATACAAAGCAAGAGGATTTGCAACAAATAATACTCAAATTGTAGTAAGATATCGAGGGTTATCGAGTTAAATAACATACTTCACCACTAGCTTCAGAAACGGTCTAATGATTTCAGTTCCTGTGTCGCCACATTACTCTTGAACATCCTCCACTATGATGAAATCACGAGCCTGCCGGCTTGGAAGAACAGTTTGAGGCCCCGTACTTATCGAGGACAGGGGTCAAGGTTCCCGGGACGCCCGAAGGTGTTGCACGGCTCAGCATAAAACCGCAGTCTGCGCCACGGTGCCAAGTCGTGGCATGCCTTTGAGCACTGCTCTCGGTTAGGCTATACGAGATCGCGGAAAATGTTCCCTTTGTTGGTTCTCCCTGCGATAAATCCACCCTTAACGTCGGTCTTTCGACGCGGCTAAGGTACCAGCGTAAATCACATCGTGGAAGACCTCAGGACCACCCTTTGACTTCGCTGACTCAAGACGATTCGAGTCTTCTGTCCACGCCGCGCTCTGGAATAACACCACAGGCCCAGCCTTGCACTCGACAAACTCGGAGAGTAGAACTATCAGTGTACTGCGGACGGAGCCGGACGACTTTACTGGTCTTTGGCTAAACGAACGCTCATGCACCCACCAACCAGGCATGAGCATAACTCTAAAATCCTTCCGCGCTTTATCTCAGCGAAGGCAACAGCGCCCAGCTCTGAAGACATTGTTGACGACTCGATCGATCCGGAATGCAATTCCAGCGCTGTGTCTCGTCCTATCGCTCACTTGCTTCTATGCACTCATACCTCGGTCCTCTACCTACTTGGCCCCATTAGATCAGGCAATCGAAGACAAATCTACAGAAGCCCAAGAAGTATCGGTGGGCAATGCGCGCTTTCATCTCCTTGTACCAGCCACGAGCTCTAACCCGGACCTGTGTAAATTGAGCCTTTCCGTCCAGATACTGGACTATCCAATCCCAGTACTCATCAACTTCGGCCACCCGGAAGATCCAGATAGCTACGTCCAACATCTGGCTAAACCACAAGGTATTCTCAACTACCTAGACTCCATCAGTGGTGAGGATGATCGGGGCCGTGTGGACGAGGACTTAGTGCTGATAGTTGACGGCTATGATGTCTGGATGCAATTGCATCGAGATGTGTTGATCTCAAGATATTATGAGATGAATAGGGCTGCAGACGCGAGAACTAATGCTACATATGGCGATGAGACGTTCCGGCGCCTGGACATGAGGCAGACGACTATCTTTGGGCCAGATAAGATTTGTTGGCCCATTGACTTCAGTCGACCAGCGTGCTGGGCAGTACCGAGAGGAGGTGAATATCTCTACAGTCTTGCGCAGAGATGATCTGAGCGCGAGAGAACCGGGCATGCTGACGTTTTAAGTAGCTTTACCAGAGTACACTTTTGGACCTCGAACAGACCATGGCCCCGAAGAGTTCAACATCCCCCGCTGGCTAAATTCAGGAACAATCCTCGGGCCTGCTAGTGATCTCCGAACACTTTTCCGGGCCACAATCGCCGAGATCCAAAAGAACCACACCACGGACTCAGACCAATTCTACCTCGCGGAACTGTTCGGGCAGCAGGAATTTGGACGCTTACAACATCGACCAGACTTGCTCAACGAAATGAGGAAGATACGCTACCCGGGCGAGGAAGGCCTGCGTGATGAGGAGCTAGACAGGAAGGAGCCGACGAGCTCTGTCATGGGCAGCAATCTCGAGGGACGCCTGACTGAGTTCCACATAGGCATCGATTACGAAAGTCGAATCTTCCAAACCCTCGCATTCTACAAACAATTCCTTACCTGGACTCGAGCATCGTCTGCCTGGCGACCACGCACGAGTCCTCACCAAGGCCAACCCTTCGATGTTCAACTAGCGAAGGATATCCTTCAGTCACCATCTCCGATGCTGACAAGGAACAACACTGGCAGAGATAGCGATGTCGCCGATGACTTGAGCTCCATCTACACATCTTCCTCGCCATGGCAGGACGTTGATCTCCTCTACAATATCGCCACAGTCCAGCACCCAGCCCTCCTTCACATAGCTGGCGGATTTCGCGAGAAACCTTTCCGCGAGTACTGGTGGTCTAAACTCTGGTTTCAAGCTTCTCCTTCCCGATTACGGCTAGAGGCTGTGGCTCGTCATGGCAGCATGCAGACAGACCAACAGACTCCGTTGATCGGAGGCTATCGTTGGCTCAACGCTGCTGGGTCATCGGAAGCACAGGAACTGCCGGCGAGAGGGTATGGTGGTGCTTGGGTAGATCATGCCGGAGGGTGGATAAGCTGGAAGGGTCTATGTGGAAGATTCGAGGAGGAGATCTATCGGGATTCTGGTGGTGAGCCGGACTTCTTCCATCCATCCTAGGGCAATGTCACACGAACAGAATTGCGTATCAGCCAACAAGCCTTATGTCTAGGCTGCTGGCGGATCTGGGAGTCCTATACGATGTTTACCTACGCTATATAGACTTAGTAGTAGGCTATTAATTAGTAGTAGGTAAAACCTATTACTAACTCCTATACTTAAGGTTAAGTATAAAGCTTCTAACTACTTAGTCTAAAACTATCACTCTATATATAGGAGATTTGTTCTTATATAGTATTAATAGTAGGTAGTACTTAGAGTACCTACCTATTAGGTAAGGTTAGTAAGTATTGCTTATCTACTTTACGCCGTACGCAATTAGAGGTAAGTAGAGCTATATCTACCTTACCGTATATAACTATAAAATATTTAAGGCCTTACAAGATAATATACGCTAGTTCTATTCTGCTACGGGCTAGTAGTTAGTAGAGAAGTAGCGGTAAAGACGTAGAAACTAGAAATTAGAAACTATAGCACTGCCACCTTGTCTTGGCCGTGATCCTTGCCAATTTCTACAGGCTTTTCGATCATACAGCGGTGCCATTTCCAAGACGGTGACATCAGCCAACATGCCTTGCGTTTCTAGGCTTCGGACAGCTGCAGCTAGCGCTAGCGGGTCTTGCGTCGCGCCCATGAACAAGTACTGCGTATTCGACCCGTGCCATCCTGCCTCGGATGCCTACTCGTCCGCTTCAAGACTGTGGCTTTCGAGAACAGCTTGGTACCAGTTCATTGGTGCGGAGAAGTCGTCGCGCGGGAAAGCACTCCGTGACTCTTGGGCACGGATCTGTCTGCGTGCAGCCATGTTCAACTGACTAGCCTGGTATCGTGGGGAGTCGATGTTATAAAGTCATGCTTGCTGCCATACAGAATCCGCCACTCCTGCCTTTTGATTTTGCTTGCACACGTTATTGGCTTGGTTTGCCGCCCTCGGACACGAATAGAGCTATTGCCACACTCTGCTGCTCTGGATCCTTCTCTCAAAACAGCTTTCGCATAATCAGTGGCGCAATCCGGCTATAATGGAAAGCAACGAACGCGCTGTCAACGGCGTCAAACGCACTTACAAGACTGGCAACAGGGTACACTCCTGGTACAGTCGCCTAACTAAGGCCCACAAGATTCTTCTCTGGCTACTTGCTACTCTCGCCGTGCTTGCCATTGTCCTAGGAGTGGGCTTGGGTGTTGGGTTGCATCAGTCGAAAGGGAATAATAACAATGAGCACGACTCCTAAGCACGACTCCTAAGACCAATACGAATCCGCTCGTCTATAAGGTGCTTTCTTCCTTTGCAGGGCAACAACAATGGTTGTAGTTGCGGCTAAGTGTTATGAGCCTGCGGTAGGGTCACGGGTTTAGAGCTCGTTAAGCAATGAGTTCCAAGCAACTGAGTCGGGTATGAACGTATGAAGGTTGTCTACCTTTCAGCGGGTTGATAATTGGAACACTCAACCCCTTGAGGATAGTTGTGCGAAACTTACTCGTTAACACTTTGCGCGAAATTGGATGTGTAGTGTTCCCATAAAGATTATCTGGTACGCTAAGCCCAGTGCTACAGTGTGGTTGCTGTGATCACCTCGAAGACGGCCTCGTTGGTCTGTGGACTTACTTTCATGTGCTTGCCACGAGGTCAATTATTCTGTTGGCCAAAAATTCTCATCCACGTAGATGCACGATACGTGTAGGATGGACCGCTCAAAGATCTTACACGCGAGCTCGCGATACGCTCCTCAGCCGGCAGAATGTCCCACGCGGGATGTCCTCTATGGGCGCTGGCCCAGCAGGCGTTGTTTGTCCAGGCAGTGTGGAGATAAATTAGGGCCGTGTGCGCGGAAGCGGTGTCTTGTGAGATGCAACGAGACTCGAGTGAGGACTCAGCGTGCGACGTCCCTACAAGCGCAGCACTCGCTTGGTCGCAGCGCCTGGGTGCCGACCGATGGTGGCGAAGGTGCCAGCGGATGTCGTCTCCGAGCTAAGTGGGTTCGTTGGTGGTCGCTAAAGGTGTGGTGGTGGTATCTCCAGCTGCCAGCTTATTCTGGCGCAGTCGCCACGTGAATTCGTCCTTCTCTGCCGCCCAGGATGTTATGCGACGCATGATTTTTGAACTGATGAATAGTGAGCTGGGTGGCGGCAGTCATCGACATTCAGTTCCACGATCATCATGGCTTCGGACTTAAGTTCGAAGCCGGTGGGCCTCGCCATACAAAAGACTATCCATCTCTGACTATCCATCTCTGACCTCCGATCTCTGACTTCGGCTCTCTGATCTCCGATCTCTGATCTCGATCTCTGATCTCACGCCCTGGCATACAGTACGAATGTAGCCGACATGGCCATATATAGTTCTTGGATACCTGATTGGAGAACCCTTGCCAAATCTATTGTTCTCGATGCGAGTATTGGTGCCGAGGTCGAGGGCGTTCGGGTCAGACAACCATATAAAGCGACTTTACGCAGAAGCGACTCGGTATTCGGCCCACTCAAAGCGGCTTATCGCGATTCACTTATTTGTATCACCCCGCGTGAACGGGCGCTTACGTCAAGGAGCATCCGCTCGGGCTGGGCCTTCCGATCCGGCTAGGGTAGTCAAGGATCTCCCCGAAGATCCCGCAGGATTTCCGGCTCCGACAGAGTTGGGCGCCCGAGATGATGTGATGCTGACTCCCGTTACTCCGATAACAGCAGAAGGTGTCAGTGCTCTTCACAATTTGATACAGAAAGACGCGCGATCGTGTGATGCGGCAGGCCAGCAGCGTCCTCAGAGACGTCTCCAGAAGCTGACCAACGCCACACAACTATCATTTGCGGAGCGGGCTCTCCTGCAGGAGCAGAATCAATTTCTTACCAACGTTAATAATGAGGCAAAAGTTCGTCAATCTACCAAAACAACGATAATCGGTAAGGCTAGAGTAATGAGTTATGAAGATCTGGAGAGAGCACGAATGGAGCGATCCAAGAAAGAAACCGAGAAGAACGCAAGGCGGGCTATGAAACAGGTCAAGAAAGTCAAATTCTGGCGCAAAGTCAAATATGACGGCTGAGACAGGCCTCATACAAGATGTAGAAAGCGAGCATGATGTGACCGTACAAGATTCGAACGCAGTGTCATCACAAGCTAATGATGGCCCGATGCAGTTTGCGCGACTGTGCCAGAACCATGGAGGGCTCCTGTGGCGAGAATGTGGTAGCAGAGGGTCTACAGTGATTCGATGTAAGCTAAATGTACGTGGTGTGGTGGTCGCGGCACAAGCCAACCTCCCTTAGAGGACCCATCGTATCAGTAATATCAGGGATCGATTCTTTCGACGCTCATATCAAAAGTACATCAGTCATCCAGCTCCTGATGTAAGTTATCCCATTATTCTCGCCCTCGCTGAGCACTGCCCCTCTTTGGCTTCTTGAACTCTCTGCCTGTTAATGAGGCACTTGGAGTGGCGATGAGGTCTTGGTCGGTGCTCGATTGTGAGTCACCCTGAGCTTGTATTGACGCGGAGCCTGCGCTGGAGGCAACAATGCTATGCGCGCCTAAATCTTGCGACAAGCCAGATGTTTGCCCAGGGTGGTTGGACTCGGACTGCGAGACAGAGAAGCTTATGTTGGCAGGGATCTGATCGATAGCTGAACAAATCCGCTTGAAGTGCTCAGGCATCCATCTATCGTAAACATTCTTCGTGAATTGGTATGCCGTCCATTTCTCTTTGCCGTGGAGTTCTGTGAAATCGAAGGTGCGTATTGAATGGCGATAATATTTCGTTGATGACTCGTCAATTTCAGCATAATACCCGTAGATCCTGACACTCCGATGGTCATGCGAGATGGAGTAAGCGAGAATTTCTCGGTGTAGCTCCTTCTCGCGCTTGACTGCCCGGAAAAGCTCCACTACCGCTCGCACCGCAATAGCCATGCTGTGAGCATTCTGACGGTCGGCAACATCAAGGGCCGCAGCGCCGCATTTCACTTCGCAGGTCAGGAAGGGAAAGTACATATACCATGTTGCCATGAAGTATGACTGGTCGTTGAAGTCTCCAACAATCGGGTGCATCCGGTCAAGTCGCTCTTGCGAGAATGCATCTCGATGAAAGCCCACTGCAAAGTCCGGCTGCGGTCGTGTCTTTGTAAGTGGGATGGAATTGTTCCAGCCTTCGTTGACACTATCGACCAGCCCTTGCAGGTGTGTTGCGCCGCGTATCGCCAAGACTTCGGCAGATGGGACGATTAGTAGCGCGATGTCGCGTATTACTCTTGTCTCATTCTTGTCTTGTACACTTTCGCATGTAGCATCGAAAAGATCATCTCGAAACATGGTATGCGGAGGATATTTCTGTTCTTGGTCCAGCATGGTCTTACAACACTCCTGGCTTGCCTTCGTCACGCCTGAAGGAGATGACTTTAAAAATACTCCCTTGGTTGCAAGGACTGTTGCATACTGTGGTTTCTTGTACTCGGCGCTCTTCTGCTCCCTTGATTTCTGCTCACCCTGCCCAGTCGAGCTCGGCGTCGCAGAGTCCGTGTCTGAGTTTTGCCTGCTCATGGATGAAACTGATCTTTTACGGGCAAGTATGTTCTCCATGTCTCTATCCTCTTCGAAATACTGTGGGGGCCACTCGTCGTTTGCCGCCCAATATGCAATTGGATGCTCTTCGTGTATCGAGTCGCATGCGGCTGGGATGTTCTGTCTTCTCGATCGCGCCAAAAAGACTGGCTTCTGTCGTTGCTGTGTACAGTTCTGTGTGAGCTCTCCTTTCGTGTTCCAGGCGGTGGAACATACTTCTCCTCTGTGGACGCCGCTACGTAAGTCGTGGTGACCCCTCTTCCGTCGATCAGCCTGGCGCGAGGCTTGCTTCTGTTCGTACTTCGCCAGGCGTACACTTTTGCGCGGTGCTTGATGCACTGAAGTGCGAGCTCTCTTCACTACCGACACGTTAATTGCTTGCCGTGGCCTGGACACCTCGGGACACTGTACCTCCAGCATGCTGAGCCCGATATGTTGTGACTTGTGTGTCAGTCTGGTGACTTGCCATGGCGCTCAAAGAAAGAAGAAAGAGGAGCGTTTGAACCAGCGCCTACGCATCTATCGGTCAGTGGAGTACAGGTGTCAGACCCCGCTGGCTGCCTTGGCTAGTTCGCAACGCGGATCACCGAAGCCGGACGCCCCGCATCGATCTTTCGTGTACGTGCTCAGACCACTATTTAAATCCTGCAGCGCTTCTTTGACGTCCTGATTTGCATCTACGCAAGATCTTGATAACAGTAAGGTACTCAAGCGAATACCAAGCAGCATGAACACAACTGATTTATCCAATGCTAATGAACTCTCAGTGTTTCAGATGCAAAGACCGCTCTTATAGTGAAGACAGTACGGCGCAAGCATACGCCACACTCCTCGAGACGAGCGAATGTGGAACGGGTTTAGTGTACACTACAATTAAGCGCGCCGCACAGTCTTATGTCAGCACGATTATACATTCTAAAAATCTCACCCTCACCAAGACCGTGTCCCTTCGAACGGAGAAACTCTCGGCATACGAGCACATAGCCTCAGACGATAATCCAAGAAGAAGACATATTTACTAAACGTTGCACTACCTTATGCGACCTCCGAAATGTATGTGCAGTCTTATAGGCGCGACGTAGTAGGGGTCGATCGTCAGACCGTTGATCGGCTGCATTAGCTTAATGATCGACAGCACGACCCAGAGGCTGTATTCTGTGTAACGCTGCGTATGAGATGGAGAGTAATAAGCAGAGAGCGGTACAGTGCTGTCTTTTTCTGTGTAACGCTATAGAGAAGCCTTCGTTGCTTCGATTTCCATTATGTGGCTCGCGACATAGGGTGGCTCGCTACACTGGGGGGGATAGTAACTTGCATTCTGATGGGGCTATCTCTTCACCGCGACAAAGACCTTTGGCCGAGCTTGGGCCTCTTGCGGCCAGAACGGATGTGCGCTGATCAATCCGAGGAGGAAGAACGGCATGGTGATCAGAGCATGCTTCGGCGCACGTAAGTAGTCACACAGCGTACCCCTTCGTGCTATTGTTTATGGATGGAGCACGAAGGGACGAATATCCTCATAACCGGCGACAACGATCTCAGGGCTCGCGCCACATATATAGACGAGTGCAGGCGCTGGAACATGCACGCTTGACTTCTCACGACGTACGAAGGATGATTGTCAGTAGAAAGAGGAGGAAGCCAGAGTGCGGTAGAGTGCAGATTGTGAATGACTTCAGGCGGGCCTGCATGCGATCCCTTCAAGACTCGTCAGTTCTTGGCAGTGTTGCTTCCTGTTTGAAAATGCGTTTCTTCTCGCACGATACTGCTTATTTCCCTGATGGTGTCGGCTGGACACCGAATAGCTCGCCAGTCGGCCGTATGTCAGCTCGAAAGGGACTCGTAGCGTGCCAAAGTCATAGAACTCTTCGCCGTCCAATTGCGCATCTACGATTACCGCCGTGTCGTCCTGGAGAGATCTCTCGTCGAAGATGGCGAATAGCTCGAAGTCGATGTCCGCGCCATTGCGCCGGAATTCTTGCAGTAGAGCTGCACATTCCTAGGGCGTCTTGTCCCTGAAGGGCGAAGCTGGGTCATTGGGAGTGTTGTGACCGTGCTCGGATTCCTCGTTGTACTGTATTGTTAAGCTATCGACGAACACTAGGAAAACTTGTATGGCGTTTCCGTAATCTTGTGCTTGTTGTAGCAGACGATCTTTGACTTAACAGCACAGCCATTAGTTGATTGTGAGAGTGATGAGCATGATGTACTTTGGACTCACTTCGGCGCTGACGCCTGCCGCACAGCAGATCGGAAAGAGACGCCCGCTGTTCTCGTGAGTCAAGCACTGTGCGGTCATGGTGTGCAGTGGTGATATAACAGCAAGGTTTGTGTTTGAAAACAAAAAGGCGTGGAGTGTAGAGGCGAATAGTAGCTTTATATCATGGAGGCCCGTGACGAGATTGCAGGCCGTCGAGAACAGGGCCGAATGTGAAACACATTACGCGCTCGGCATGCTCTTTAGTCAGGCACTTCATGGCCGAACGAACCGTCGGACGCGAGGTTCTGCATGAATGCAGCACGTCACTTGATGGCCAAGAAGCAGAGTGGTTGGAGGTGCCGTTCCGCAAGCGGTGGAAGCACATTGTCCTCATACCTCGCTCCTGCAGTGGCAGAAGCCACCTCGAATGAGGAGGAGACTACATGATCTATCATTCTACTACGACCGCATACGTCTTTCAGGCCGATTGCCCCATGGCATTCACATACAACGACTCACTAGAGGGTCGAATTGCCGGATGCAGAGACGTTCCAGCCTAATGTAGTGACCTCCACTGTTGGAGGCCGCAGGTGTGGACCCCTCTCCGTTACCGGCGAGCTCACGGATCACCCGCGCAGTTGAGTTGCCCACCACACAGGCTTCATGTTCCCAGTCTCCGTCCGGATCACTGTCTCCCAGCATGATACGCGTTTAGCGATGAGAAGTGAAATCGTAAGGCAACGGATTAATGTGAACTACTCGAGCTTGGCAAACAACATGCAGGCAAGACTAAACCTTGGTTTGAATGTATAATTGACTCCGCCTTCGGTAATAGCACTTTTTCCACGCCACAAGCTGAGTGATCGCCGGTATTGTCATATCGGCCCCGTTGGTAATATCTTAATTCCACTCCGTACGAGTCCATACGCTTGATTTGATTCACAGTGGCCGCAATGGCACAGCTTTTCGCATCGTCCAGCCTCTCAGGGTAACAGAGAAAAGGGAAAGATTGCAGCAGACTTCCCAGGTTGCTAGCATCGCACGCTGCCTGTTTGTTCGAAAGAGTGCAGACCGATACGGACTTGTCAGTGAGCAGCTCCCACATCTGATCTTGTAAGAGCTTGTGCAAACACTGCATGGTATGTTCACGTTGCGACTTCATCTCCTCTGCGCGGTCAAGTCAGATTCCATCAGAAATATCAAGCCGCTGTCTGCTCACTCACCTATAATGCTATCAGGTACGCCATCACTCAAATCAGGGACACTGCCGCAAGTGAGAGCACCGCATTTCGAGATTGTTGCATTCAAGACGAGGTGCTTCGCGACTTGTGCGAAGACCTCTTGATTGCCAAAAACAATGGCGATGAACAGCCACGCTTCAAATCCATCATCTCCTACACTGCTAAGGTGCGCTTGCGACCATAGAGAACACCAAGGTAGAATGCAGTTCTGGAATGCATATTTGTCGCATATCACAGCTATGGCCCTGAGCTGCTTGAAGGTCAATGTCGCAGGGACCTCATCGTTTCTGTGGTGGATAATGTTCATAAGGATCTTCATCGTCCGGTAGTCGTCATCTTCCAGAGATACAGTCCGTATGCCTTTTTCGTCGCAAGAACTATCCAAGGCTTCCGCAAACTTGGAGACTTCGCCAAGCATGGCGAGAAAGACGGAGGAGCTTAAACAAAGCGCCTTCCGTGACACCATGAGCTGTCCATTTTGGAGCAGCAGTCTCACATCTCCGGAGGGATCGATTGTAGCGATTTCATCTTCGGAGTTCATTCTGAACAAAGTCATAGACTGGTGATACTGAATAGCAACAGCTTTCTCAAGGAAACCTCGCGTTATGAGCGGATCCTTGCATTCAAACAGGCTGTGACATTCTGACGCACCACCAACCCGATGACCCACGGCGCGTCTCACCAAATCTGAGTCATACAGCTCGTGCGCGACAGCTTCAGCTGTCTGCGTCTCGTCCAACCGAAGATGCTTTGGCAGCCCGTTGGTTCGCTTGTTCTGACGGAGAAGTTGTTCCGTGACTTACGCTTCCTCCTCTTCGGCGCATTCCAGCTCACGCTTTTTGTTGTCGCGAGAGTCGCGGAGGCGTTGCGATTGCGGACAGTTTTTCGTCACATATGTCCCTTCCAAATACACTCAGAACAGCGGCCAGAGCGGGGAGCAACATTACAACGAGGTTTGGGCTTGCTCAGCTTGGGTTTCACAGTTGTACACCCAGTACATGGAGCCATTTCAACACCCGTGGGCAAAGCTTCCTGGGAGAGAGATGGAGGGTTGGCTCGAAAGCGAATAGCAATAACTTTGTTTCGGAGCTAGTGTAACCTGGAGGGTCGGGACATTAATACAGATATGTCACGTGTGGAGCTTGGCGATCTCGTTGTAGCCAATCAGAGTGTATATCGGAACGTTCTCATGTGTGATGGTAGTGGTTTGTATAGTATTGGAGCAAACAATTTCAGTGGATACTGGCGGACTCGTGCAGCGGTCCGTTGGACCCACTTCGACAGTCTTCGCCATCGTGATCTACCCCTCCGATCGTCCATGGTTAATCTGACACTAGATCATCTCGCAACCCATTTCTGCGGCCTAGGCATGCTGTAGTCCGGAATTCGTCCCGTGGGCATTGTAAGTTACGAGCAGCTGTCGTGGTTTGGAACCTTTCGAGGCTAGGATCCTTGATCCCAGCCTATCATCCGGCGACTTGCAATGCAGACGTGCCATCTTTAATCTTTACACAAAATTGTATGTGTGGCCGTTAGAAAGATATATATGCATTTATAAGCGCGATATATCACGTCAAGAGACACTGCAATCGCCTGCCACTGTGCTGTAAAGAGAGTGTTCGAATTAGCACGAGTAATGGATTATCGGATTCCCGAGCACCATTTCGACATTGAAGGGCGGCCAGGATCCTTCTCGCCTGCCATGTCGATGAACAGCTTCTGGCTTACTCTTCATGCAGTCATACGGGTGTTGATGGAACGACATCTAAGTTGGAGTACAGTCGCTTGCCGTGTGTAGTTCAGGTGCGGTTGACTTTACACCAAGCCCCTTTCTACTTAGCGTGCATCGCTACCCTTCCCGAACGATGAAGTACTGCCGACTTTGACCTCACGCGTACACTGTCTGTGCATCGCAGCAGATTCGTAACCACCATCCTCCATGGCTAAGTGTATAACATCCCGATGATCCATGGCTAGGTGTATAAGATCCCGATGAGAAGCGTGCCGCATAATTGCTTCGGCGGAATGTCCCAAAAACTCCTAGAGTCCTGTATTGGACATCCTTCAAATCCGTGGAGGTCCTCGAGCGGGGCTGATCACTACCGTTGAAAGCACTCGAGACCACGGAACTCAATGACAATAGAATTTCCAGTCATCTCTCCAGGCTATCGACGACCTCTCGCCTTAAGAAGCTAAGTGCCGTGTGGTCACTCGTCCTTGATAGAGTATTCACACATCGGCGCAACGGGCAGGCACAGCACCTTGCCAAAGTGATCATGGATCTCTCAAAATACCTTTGCTAGAACGAAATAAGTCAGTTGAATCAGGTTTTCGGAATCTCGCTTGAACATGACTCTGCGCTCGTCTTCTGGACGGGTATATCTCCAATGCTCGCGAAGGATTGGGCCCGTAGAAACGACCTGAAGACGCTCACCATTGCGATGGGTTCATTGTATGCCGACAAAAGCCAAGGAAGGCCAGAGTCTCGAAAGTCTAAGAAGTCGTGGTCTAAATATATGAAAGGCGCATCCTGTGGTTTTGCACAACAGGCTTGCCAAAACAGGTATGCCATTGTCCTTACAAATGCACCGCCAAATGTCTACAGCACGCGCGAACACTCAAATTATCGCGAAATCGAAGAACCAATACTCAAAGGGTTTGAAAACAATCGACATGCGATACAAATTCACCATGTGCATCCAACAGTCCCGGGTGCCGCGTGTTTCCGTTATCAGATATGGCCCAGTGACCGTTCTTCTGAATGGTTTAGCTTTCTAGAATGCATTACTATCAAGAATATAGTGAAAAAGATCGTCCAGCGTACTGGTCTACAGCGATCGGAGAGACTAAAGGAAATCGAGAATGCGACACCTCCATATAATGAGTCAGAGAAATCGGTTTCTCCCGCCACCGTGTGTGAAAGCAGAAAGCAGGAGACTGCGCAGCAGAAAAAGGCGACGAAGCAAGTCAAGATCGAGAGGGAGCAGCAGGCAGCGCGAGAGAAGAAGGCGGCGAAGCAAGTCAAGGTCGAGAGGGAGCAGCAGGCGGCGCGAGACAAGAGGGCGGAGAAGCAAGTCAAGGTCGAGTGGGAGCAGCAGGCAGCGCGAGAGAAGAGCATCGAAGCGACCCAAGGTCGCGAAGGAATGGGCCGGAGATCTTCCTGGGCAAAACTCTTGCCATGCCTAGGGTGATACAACAACTAGACGGACGAAGTTGACTAAGCAGGGGTTGCTCGCCATGGTGACTGCCTAGCGTGATGTGAAGGACGCCCGAACCCAGTGAGTCCATGGAAAGCCGTTGAAACTCTCCCATCCGAGACCGATCTTTACACCTGTCCGCAAGAACGACAAATTCGAGGCTGCGTTCCGATAGACTCTTGTGTACATTGCTGTAGGGAGCGTATCCCACAGCACATGCGCTGCACAGCAAGGGAGAATCTCTCCGCATCTTGGCGTGGTACCTTGCAGTTCCACGACTTTGGCGCCGTATGTGCTCCTGCAGCCTGGTGCGGCTGATACGTGCAGATCTCCAAGTCAAGAATGGCGTCGAATGATCTCCTAGATTTTGATCAGGACGCCCGATATCGTTTCATCAATTTCTCTCAGCCATCTCCTTCCCAAGGAGAGTATCAACAGCTGCTCGACGCACCGTCCTTACGGTCAGATTCACCCGTCCAGAGCGACGTCAGAACTCAAGAGCATCAGCGTGGGGAGCAAAAGCTGCGGCTGCTGGACATGCATGAGTGATCTCGTGGAAAAGGATATTCACTAGAATGGAAAGTCGTCCTGAAGACGAGGCAGATCGTGACCAATACGGAACAGAACCTGATTGTTACGCCCGTCGCTTTTTTGGGAGTTAGAACTTCGTGCAAAGTTGTAAGAATCTTGGACCGAAAGTTGTCACGGCAGGATCGTCCCGATCCAGATGATACAATGGTTATCGTTGCTGTGACAAAGCGTGCTGAGCGCGACTTTATTGAGACCTATGAGGGACTTGCAATCGATGGGGCAGAAATCGCTAAACAGCTTGAGTCTTGGGCTGAGTATGATAGCGTAGGAGAGCGACTGACGATTAGAGTAACGTTCAGGTTCAAAGCACGCGATGGGACACAGAGCTCCTCACGCGGTCGATGCTCCGTCTTGAAAGGAACGCCAGGTTACCTGACACCTTGGCCTCTTGCTCAATTTTCAGGACTTGTCCACCACTTTCCCGCTCGAGTTTCAGCGGGTGTCTCTTTAGCTCAGCTGGAATTTGCCCAAAAATGGACAGAAGAAGATATTTTCCGCAACAGGGTCTCGTTATGAATTCCAGTGCCCTAAATACCGCTCGATATCTTGTATGACATCGAATGTAGTTGGAGGGGCTTCGGGCAACGTAGGATCTGCAAGTATGGAGTGTATGCACATCGTCAGATTACGATGCACTCCAGGACGATTGGCAACAAAGACATCTCTCTTCTTTAAAAGCTCTTCGACAGACATTCCAGCATGCTGCAGATCGAACCTCCGCACGTACACGACAACTTGTGATTTGCGCTGTTAGGTGGCTTGGGCAGCTTCAGTTAGCCAAAATGCTACGTCACAAGGTTCAAGTACTAGTTGCGATGCTATCGTCTTGTCAGCAAGTACCTTTACTAGGCTCTCGGAGCTGGGTTTCCAGCCATTTCGCTGCGTTCTGATCAACGACGAGTGTTTCAATGACGACGACTGTGTTGATGTACACAAATTCCTAAAGTGCCTAAAAAGGCGATGTGATTTGGAGGCGTTGAGGTCCAAGATCTAGGAACGGGTTGCACACTTGCTATGGACTTACAAACTGTTATTGAGCGGTACGAGGCCGTACGCAATATTCCACTGTCTGAGATCGATTCAAAAAAGATTCAGCTTGCAATGCTCAAGATATCTTGTCACCCTCTCCAGGACGCAATTGCGGACACTCGAGGGCTGCTGGCACCCCAGCGAGCGCGTGATCAAGTACCTTCCATGTTGTGGGTCTTCATGTATCGAGTGCTGCCAAGTCCAGGACACGGCTATATACTCTCTAGCCATGTTCAGACATAGTCGAAGCTAGCTAAAGCAGCCTACTCGCATCCTGCATTCTACAATCCGTCTGGTGATGGTCCGCACCAAGCTTCCTAATAGTCCTGCGGATGTGTCGCATAATTCAGAAGGAAACGCTATGACGGAAAGTTAGCTCTTGCGCGCCGCCGGGATCATCATGTGCCCGGATGACGCGGGGCAAGTTCGGTGCCAGCTGAACTTGTTTCTCATGGTCACAATGAGTCAAGATGATATATCCAATCTCAGCCAGCGGTACAATCAGATCAGGTTACTTTACCAGCAACGACTGCCACGATCCACGATTCAAGATGCACTCCACGACATTGCGCACATATTTGTGCACTATCGCGCCAGCTTGACATTCGGCGTAGCACTTCTTCACCGGCATCATGAGCTACGCCCCGGCTATGCAATGGTGCATTCCCGCTGATTTATGGACGAAGACTACTGCAGCATGGAGCAAGTCACCGGTCGTCGCATCTTCCCATGCGCGTTTCACTGCGGCTTGGACGAAGATGTCGGATTTCTTCCGTACGAGTTCTCCGAATCCCCTGCGCCAGCGCCAGACCAATCTTTCTTGTCCGCACTTGCAACATATCTTCGACAGACCGGCCTCTGTGAAACCATTGCAATCACCCACATAGATGGCCATGAGACAAGACGCGTCGAAAGGCTGTCCCCTGATGGGCAAGGTATGATCGCTGTAACGGCGGACAAGGAGCAAGAACCCTGGGATAAAGGATACACGACGACGGAGCGGGCGGTCATACAAGAAGAAGGAGAAGTTCGAATCGTGGCTGTCAGGAAATGTGACGACAAGGAGCCAGCTCACATGAGGCCATAGCTGAAGTGCTTTCATCCACTGCAATACGACGTTACCACGCAACGGGTGTCCGAGCACCTGCGGCTGGGATAACTCCCCAACTGCTTGGCTCACAGAACAGGGCATATTTTCAGCCCCCCGAATGTCACATGACCATGTTCTACGCCTTGCCTTTTGTCATGGGGCTGCTCTGCGACACGGCTGTGCCCGCACGACAGAGCGCCTTGCCTCACGTGACAGAGCAACGGAGCGAGAACGAGTCTCCTTGGTATATAGCAGTGGCCTTGGGGCGAGTAGTTAGGAACTTCGTGCTCAACCTCAAGTGTGTGCTCTTTCAGTGTGTTTTCAAGCCACAATATGAACAATGCAAGTTCCATCAAGGCACCGTGCTGTCCAAAAGTGCTTGGGCGTAGGACCCATAATGACATTCATGCATCAGAGGCGGTTACGCTGCCGCCTGCGATGATCCCAACCTCCCTACTCCGTCCGCTGACTCACATCGCTCTCAGGCTCGCAGTACGTAACGAGCATATGGTACGCTGGCTATTGTCGCGGCAAGTCGATATAAACAGACAAGACGCCTGGTCCGAGACTGCTCTGTCGCTTGCAATTGAGTGCAGCTCGTTCCGCGTACTGGATATGCTGTTGAGTGATGGCGCTGACGTCAGACGAGGAACGCCTCTCCATATGGCTCTCCGTATTGACGACGAAGCAGTGAGCTTACAATTGATGGCAAGACTTCTCTCGTTGGGGGCTCCTGTCGACCAATATCAGGGCAACAATTCACGAGCATGGGAAATGGTGGGTTTTCAGCGAGGTACTGCTCTCCACTTGGCGTGCGCAAAAGGAAAGAGTGGTGCTGTGCGACTGTTGCTAGCTAACGGCGCCAATCCTTTATACAAGCAGAGACTCCACACTGTCGAGCTGGAGCACTCGACCGCACTGGATGAGGCACAGGCGCACGGTCATGCGGACACACTTCTAATATTGCAGCAGTATCTTCGTAGATGATGCTAGCCCGGGTATTATTTCGTATCCTAATTCATGCTATGGCCCTATCACTATTCCTCTTCCCATCGAGTGTGGCGAGGTCACCACCCAAAACTGAGAATCACGGCCACACCGCTTACATACATGTTGTAGCTTTCTCTCCACACCCACAATCCGGCCAAGTACGTGCTACTTGTGGAGGTGGTTAAGAGAGCAGTATTCCCTTCAATGTTGTGTTCTGTCGGGTCAAGCGACGATGTTGTCGGAGCGGACGACAACATCCACAAACAGTGCCCGGGAGTACCTCGCCGAGAGAGAAGGGTAGCCACTATCCTGGGAATAGTTGACCAGACCTCCGAACACCTCCTGCTCGATGATTTCTCCCGACTTGCCTTCGTTCCGCCTGCATCTCCACCGTCGTCGTCATCTTTTTCTTCGTCTTCGTCATCACCTTCGTTGTTGCTACCTCCGCCTTCTTCATTCAGTCTAGCCTGCACAATCCGTGGCAGACCGACGCTCGTTAGCAAGGGGCACGTTATGATGAGAAGTGCTGTCCGCCTCTTATCTTGCCCAGGACTTCGAGCTAACTCATCGCAGCATCGTAGGCAGCGAGTCATCCGCTTGCCCCAGTAAGGCTGGCGTCAGGGACCTTCTCAATAGCCCTGGCTTTCGACTGCATCACATTTGGGGGTCATGCCTCAGTATTACCACGTTTAGCATCTGTCTTTGAGGGACACAAATGATATGGGCTCCGGTCGTGACGTTGCTGTAAGATACTCAAGTGGTAGTGATGTGCACTTATACGAACGATCAATGGAGTTGAGGCACCTACGACCAACTTTCCCGATACCCTCTGTCAAGAACGCTCTCATCATGAAGTCGTGCGAAGCTAGCTTATACGTGGGGCAGCCCCACCTAGTCCGTGCTCAGGCAGCTCGTGCCACGAGGTCCCTTGACATGATGGTTCGGACCCAAAGTTGAGACCACCGAGCCGTTGCGTCCATGCCCGACAGTGGAAATCCACGTTCGCTCCTTCGATCCCGACTTTTGTCTCCAGACGACCTGGCAGCACGACAACACACAGCTAACCGCTATCAGAATCGAGTTATGCCGAGACTGATTCTCTGAGTTGACATGGACCAGCGAGAAGTGGCCGACGATTTCAAATTGGTACAGCAACCACATATACCACTCCACCGACCTCGACAGACACGAGAGGGCATCCATGAACTTGCAGAAGGACGCTCGTCGAGAAGTAGGGCGTGGACGTCGTCTTCTACTGTAGGTGTCATCTTGCCAAGCGGAGTCTCACAGAGGCGGCTATGACAGCTACGTACCGGCACGGTGGCTCTTTCGAAACCTTGCGCGAGCCACTCAAGCGACAGATATGGGGCTCGATTCTGAAAAATGAAACATGTGTTGGGGCAAGCCGGACGAGATGCAACGTGACCGAGAGCTTTAAGCGCATCGTAAGGTCTGATATGGATAATTTGAAGGGATCAACTGGGACGTTTGCGCCGGATCTACCTTTGGATCTGGTCTACGAAAGGGACGAGGATGGGATCATCCGCGCGTACAACTGGACAGGCAGTCATGGTTCTCACTATGCATCGTCGGGATTCGCGGCATCGCTCAGGATACAGAAAACTGAACGAGATGAGCCAAGACCTGTTGCAGAGATAGCACCATCTTCAATCTTGATTCAGCAGCAAGTTGCTCTATCCACGTGGGCGGCACAGCAGGATCTCACCTCACCCGTACCGAAAGCATACGCTCGGCACGTTTCAAGCACGTTGCCAGATCGACTTCTTCTTCATCGCTTTGATATACTAGTGGTATAGACATCTCAGTGATGCACCAGTTCGAGCTTAGAGTCTGTCGTAGGCATGTAGGCTTGCAGAGGGAAGAGAAATTTTGCGTCAACGAGCAGCACGGTAGACTTCCACCACTGCTGCGTTCTAGCAGACATGAGCGGTCGAGCGACGAAACATGTTGCTACACCCGTGGAGGTGAAATTGGTCTCGGAATTTGTTAGGCTAAGAAGAGAACGATGTGCTAGCACTTGACTGGCTGCATCATTCGCATGGTCTGTGGTAGAGGATACTTCACGGTTCAAGTGCAGATACATCCGTTTGATTAATCCCGATTTCACAGACTCAAGCCAGTACAGATTTCAAACATAACAGCTTCACAGTCTGGGTTAACTAATGCGTGTATGTTCTACTTATAGCACAACATCGTCGTGCTGCCTCCACTGCAGAGGGCGCGATAGATGTGTATCAGCCAATGTGCTTGGCCAATCGGAAGACAGACATGAAGACACGTGACCATTCTCCACACATGTTGGAAGCCTGAGCGCTTGCCGAAACAGCTTTTATCCTTGCACCCCCTCCACCAACACTGTCGCCCAGCGATGGCACCCTCCGAATGCAAACCACTGGTGAGCTTTGGTCTTTGAAACTTCTTTTTCTGTCCATACAGTATGCGTCCGAATCGTTCGAAAGTGTGCAAGCGAATTCCCACCAAAGCGAAACGGCACAGCACGAGGCTCGCACAAGCATGTAAAAACCGCCTTCCCTCTCCCCCGAGTGAAGGTCAACCGGCCACTCAAAAGCGGAAACGTCAGGAAAGACACGACGAAGATCTCGAGTCAGGCTTGAAAAGGACGCACAAACTCCAACGTGTCCACGACACACCAACCCTTTCGGGAAGCTCGACCGCGAACACCCTGTCCTACGGTTCACCAGTCCACTGGGAGGATTACTTTGAGCAGTGGCCTCCTAATAGAGATATGGACGAATCAATGACCAAAAAGAGAAACCGAACTCCATCTCACACTCCGTCAAGTAGTTACAGCAAAAGCGTCCGAGATGGCGAGGCTCCAGCGGCCTGGACACGGCAGCACGAAGAGAAGATGCAGGAAGCTGGGCTTTTCATGACAGACTATCAAAATCGTGCTTCGATCACCGATGACTGTAAGAAGCTGTGTGACGAACTCCATGAGAAAAATTACGACGATCCCACCGGATCGTTATTTAAGCCGCAGAGGCTTGCAAAAATTCTCGAGCGAGTACGCTTTCGCAATGAGGCTCGTGTGGTCCGGGATATCATGCCTGTCCTTGTTCCGTCCCCTGAGCTCCTCCATATCGACGGCGTCGCCTCACTGAAAGACATATGCGAAGCGTTGAATGCCGAGTGGACTCAGTGCAACACGCTATGCGGCCCGCGACCGAAGCCGGACTTTGTTGCAGGAGTGGCAGGCTCTGCCTTCACCAATGAAGAAAGGGAGAAACTCCAACTAAGCCACACAAGCTCAAGTCCCAACTCATTCCCCGAGAACATGTACTATCCGTTCTTGATCTGCGAAGCCAAAGGCAGTGACAAACCTGTGGACGCTGCAGAACGGCAGGCTATGCACAGTGCTAGTATTGCTGTGCTTGCTCAGATCCAGTTGTACAGGAAATTTTCTGCTGCAGAAGAACTGGATGGCAAAGTCCTGGTCTTCTCCATTGCACACGACGCTTCCATGATCAAAGTCTTTGGTCACTTCGCGAAAATTGAAGGTGACAAGCTCACTTTCTTTCGACATCAGTTGTATCTCAGTGATATCGCCACCGACCTGCGATCAGAGGCATCATCCCGCGCGTACAACATCACACGTGCCATCTACGATGTCTTCTTTCCTCAACACCTGGCTCGGATCAGAAGCGCTTTGTCGAAGCTCAGGGGCTCCACGGTGGCGTCCTTCACATCTCAACTGGATCTGGTTGATGGCTCTCAGGAATCCACTGTCAGCAAATCATTGCAGGAAGATGCAAGGTTCAAGAAGCCATCGCTTTCGTCCACCGCGATGCTGCAGCAAGAGAATGAAAGGCTTCGCGACCAACTCTTGGAGATGGTGCGCAACCAGCAAACCGAAGCTATATCTCAGCGGCAAGAGCAAGACAAGCAACGAGTGGTGATGGAGCAACAGCTAGCTCAGCAAAAGGAGCAGACGGAGCAACAGCTAGTGCAGCAGATGGAGCAGATGGAACGACAGCTAGCTCAACAGAAGGATCAGATGGAACGACAGCTAGCTCAACAGAAGGATCAGATGGAACGACAGCTAGCTCAACAGAAGGAGCAGATGGCACAGCAGTTGGCACAACAGAAGGAGCATATGGGACAGCAGCTGGCTCATCAATGCGAGCTGATTGCTCTACTGAAAGAGTCTAAGAGCAAATGACTAGATATCGTTGTATCAAGTGTTGAGCTGCCATAAACGTTGAAGCCATGGATCGGACCATCGCCTAGGGGATCTTGCCTCACATGACAGCAATTTCCTCCCACCGGGAGCTTTTTGCCTGACGAGGTCGGAAACTACAACAGTACTCTCACGGAGTGAATATCCTATCACATTCACATAAAACCAGACTTGCCTCCCATCACGGGACGCTGTGAAGCAAATTAGCTGTGCAATCAGACGGAAGGATATCGAACAACCTGCAGCTAATCTTTGCGCGGATGTATGGCATAATATCCAGTCGCTCGCGCTCGGTCTCATCATAGGTCTTGCGCCATTCGCGAGGACATGGTGGGTATCCCTTGAACGTAACCTCTATCTGTACAGTGCCATCGGCCCTATGATCATGAGACGATGCCCACGGACAAAGCTTGTGCTGATCGCGCAGCATAGCGGTCCTAACCCGGATATCACCGACCGCGATCCCCCGACATGTTGAATACCTTCTGGTCCTCGTTGTTGACGCAACAGTCTCTTCCAATCGCCATCTCGTACAGTGGTGGTTGGTATATGACTATCGTCTCCGCGCGTGTGCCGAACGAGGGTAGTCCTCGGGCAGGGTCGAAGCGTGCCGCCACCGTGAGTATATCACCCCGTCGTGGGACATGGAAAGTGACGGATAGTGCAGCGCCAGGGACGTGTTGCAACGGAATGTGAGGGACGAGTGGTGTCCATGGTATCAGGCCAAGGTGATGCCGTACGATAGAGCTCTCCTCCTTCGTTTCAAGGTCCTAACGCCATTGGAGATTTTATCCGCGCGCAGTCACGTGAATGCAGCCGCCCAGCCTCTTTGTAACGTGAGGTGCAGGCATATAATGATGATAGTAGTGACATTATGTGCGCCGGGCAAGACTGACTAGAAGACTGTAATAAGTAGCTCAGCCTATCAAAGGACCAAAGCCGGCGCATGTTTTCCCAGTCCAAGGTGTGTGCTTGGCTCCGTCGAGTTCTGTGAAGTCAAAGGTACGTATGAAATGGCGGGAATACTTCGTTGACGACTCGTCGATCTCAGCATAATACCCGTAAATCCTGACGCATCGATGGTCGTGCAAAATGGAGAAGGCAAGAACCTCCCGGTGCAGCTCCTTCTCGGGCTTCACTGCCCGGAAGAGCTCTATCACCGCTCGCACCGCAATGGCCGCACTGTGAGCAATTTGATGGTCGGCAACGTCTAGGGTCGCGGTGCCGCAGTTCACTTCACAGGTCAAAAAGGGGAATTACATATACCACGTGGCCATGAAGTATGACTGGTCGTTGAAGTCGACAATGACCGGATGCATCCTATCAAGTTGCTCCTGAGTGAATGCCTCTCGGCGAAAGCCAACCGCATAGTCCGGCCGCGGTCGTGTCTTCGTAATTGGAATGGAGTTGTTCCAGCCTTCACTGACGCTCTCAATAAGGCTTTGCAGATGGCTGGCGCCGTATGTATTTAGTGTCTCCGCTGACGGAACTATTAGCCTTGTGATATCCTATATCACTCGGGCTTCATTCCTGTCCTGAATCTTCTTGCAAGCAGCGTTGAATATGCCATCACGAAACAACGAGTGTTCGGGTATGTTTTCTTCTCCCCCTTGTCGTAGGAGATTCTACATTCTCGTTGCTGTCAGGCGAGATATCCGATTCGGACTCATCCATAAAAACTCCTTTGGTTCCAAGGACTGTTGCAGGTTTCTTGTACTCGGCGTTCTTCTGCTCCCTTGACTTTTGCTCTCCTTGCCCAGTCGAGCTCGTCGTTGCAGAGTCGGTGTCTGACTTTCTCCAGCTCCCGGACGAAACAGATCTTTTACGGGCAAGTATGTTCTCCATGTCTCTACCCTTCTGGCTATAATGCGGAGGCCGCTCCCTCTTTGCCACCCAATGTGCAATTGGATGCTCTTCGTCCACAATCAGATTGCTTAGCTTAGCTGGGACAGATGTAGAGTTTTCGGCCGCAAACCGCCGTCTCTTGTAGCGTTGTTCGTATTTCCCAACAAATGCGGCTGGGGTGTTCTGTGTTTTCGCTCGCTTCAGAGAGACTGGCTTCTGACGTTAGTGTGTATGACTCTGCGTCGCACATTAGCTACCCTGCGAGAGTAACCGGAGACACCGGTGATTTGACTAGTACTGGAGCACTGGTTACAAGGATGGGATCCCATTCAAGTGATGTCCCCATAATGAATGCATCACTGGCTCCGAGCACTACCCCCGGGTCAGCGTCTAAGGCATTTGGCTGGATGCCCAGAGCACATAGTCCGGAGAGAGGGCGATTCACCACAGCTAGGTAACAACAAACTTTATGCACATCCCGCATTTCCTCCTTAGTTCTAATGCTCCAGGCCAGCCGTGTAATGTGTCTCCCACTAACCTCAGAATGGATGAGGTACGTCGCATACCACACCCTTCTACCTGCCATGGACAGAGTAGCTAAACCCCCTTTTCAGCATCACTAGCCTCCCCCATCTTCTCTTTCATGCACGAGTGCTTGGAATCGGGCAGATATGGATGCCCCTCACACAGCCTAGTACATCTACGACTCTTCAGGTCGCATGGGCAATCGTCCAAGGCGCAGTTCTTGCAGTAGCAGCCCAGTTGCTTGAACTTGCTACGTAATCCCTGAAACGTCTTATTTAACATCTTGCCCTGCTCGCCGTTGCGAAACTCCGCCTTCTCCACCTCAAGTAGCCGCCAAAGGCGCACTAATACCTCGCTCAATTGATATGGAATTGCTTCATTCGTGGCCGCTTGGTGCTCACAGATCCAGTGGACTGATTCCAGGATCTGGACAATGTTGCACTCGTCCCAAAACATACCACCTTCCATGTACGAGGGGCTTGGCGTGCTCACGGCATGCACGAGTTTCGGGCCAGGCGGCATAATAAGTACGTCGTCTTCCTCTAGCGGGGCCAGAAAAGACTTGCCGCCCGGTAACCAATGGCAGCCTTCGCGATTGAGATCCTCCCAGTCTTTGACATTCATGTCAGAAGACTTTACGTACATCCAAAACTTGAGATCGCCCGCTACCTGACGCACGAACGTGCCGGCCGCAATGTCCACATGACTCCCGCTGAATGCTCCCTTGTGGGCTAAGAGGGCGAATTGTATGCAACTCGCCATGTCGTTTGGCCTCATTTCAGTTCGCGCACTAGCCTCCAAAACTTCACCGCCACCTTGTACTACTTTGATCGTCTCCTGTTGCTTGCCGGGATTGCCGCCGCCCCGGACACTTTCGGTGAGGTCCTCGAGCAGCTTATACCGGCCTAGGCGCGTAAACATTGGCCGATCAACATTGATAAGCGGGCGCAAATCGATCGCGTTCAGACCCAAGTGGTTCCGACCCGCGCCCTTAGCGAAGTCCTTGGACCCCCAATAGGCCTACATTACCAAGGCCAAACTGTACCTGGAGCTTAGCATCGGAGTAGCGCCGTTGCAAACGAACATACGACTCATCGAGAGTGTACGCGCCCTTGTCAAGTAAATCCTGCTTCAGCAGGATGGGAACTTGCGGCTTCCATTCACGATTTCTAGCCTTTCGGTCGAAAGCTTCAGCACTTAGACAAAGCAAGTCTGCATCCAGCTCGTTAGTTGTATTTCCGATTAGCCCTCCACCATCACAATACACCTTCGGGCACTTTGACCCCAACAGCCACGCCTTCTCCACTGGCTCATCTGTTTCTTCTGCGTAAGTCACCAATGCCGCCAAGTGTTTGTCGACCCAGTAACCACTCAGATACTCTACCGAGTCGGAGCAATCGAAGGCTGGCGTTAGCGCTGCGTACGTCCCCTGGGGTGGTTCAGAGCTGTCCGCCGCTGATGAAGTGGCTGGTGTTGTTTCAGGTGTTGGTATGGGTGTTGATATGGGTGTTGCTCGCGGCGTGGACTCGGACTCATGTACTGTCGGTTTAGACGACGCTGAATTAGACGCTATGGTCTCCTGCGGCGCTGCCTGTGGTGTATTCGGCGCCGTCTCCCCATTTGCGTCCTGGGCCTGATCTTCAGCCTCGTTCTCAGTCTTGTTCCCAGCTCCATCTTCAACCCCGTCCTCGCTCTCGGGACAAACATTAGATGTGTCTATTGTTGTATCTGCACTGCCCAGTGACACTTGGCCGCCAATGCTACTCTCGATCTGCACTCCTTTAGTGGACCTTCTGCCTTCATTGTTAGTGGATCGTACCACACTTCTCTGTAGTCCCACTTTCTTCCAAGGTGAACCTTCATCTTCCCGTATTCCTATGGACAGTCTCGTCCTCTTCTTGCCATGACTTTCCTGTACGAGGATGCCAAATTCATCCTTGGCGAGCAGATGCGTAGCCTGCGCAGAGTCGGGCATGTCGATGACCCTTAGACCGGTAGAGAACCGGAGGTGTTCAGGCTTGTACGATAACCAGTGTTCAACTACCTGAAGCTCCGCCTGCAGATCGCTAATCGTATAGCCTCGAATTTTGACTGTCCCATTCTTGTGCCAGATAGCAATGTTTTGTAGATCAATTCGAGTGACTGGAGAGTGTGGAAGACATCTATCCTCCACCACTCCAACGAATTGTGACTGACTAGAGCCACTACGTATACTACTATCATGTCTCCTGATCATGACAGCATTGAGGCGACCGACGGCATTCTTCCAGTCCGGATATGATTGAGCTGCTGCCCACAGAGACTCCAAGTATCCCCGCGTACAATGGTGCCAGCCGTAGTGCATTACCACCGGCAAGCTCCAGTGCGCAGCGACGTTTGCTACTAGCCGCATACATCTTCCACTCTCCCTGTTCCATAACGCGTCCTGCTGTCCAGTCTGCTCCAGAGCGACGAGATTCTTGTATGCGAGAGAGCCGGTGACTGGCCGAAATGATTGCAAAACTACAGATGCACAATTTTGAGCAACTTGCTGCCCCGAGACTAACTCTTGCGAAATCTCGTGCAGCACTTGAGCTTTGTCTGCCGGCCGGCTTGAGAGGGAGCAGCCGCAATCGATATGACTCGACTTTCCGTAGCATACAGAGCCGCAGCTCTACGTCGCGCGTATCGAGTTTGGCGGATTTGACCATGGTGGTTTGCTCTCCGCATGCGTAGCATAACGAAGCGTTGCACGGGAGTAGTAGTTACCTGCACATTGGAATCGCAGCGCATAGGGCAGGCTTTGCCAGCGCTAGTCGAGCTAGTGCTCACAAAACTTGCCCTATGCGTAGTGAATTTGGTTCGATGTTATTGGACAGGTTCTGCAGGGTCCAACCATCCTGCAAGAGAACGTCTACAACATGGACGACACGGGGATCATGCTTTGCCAGCTCGGCTCGGTAAAGGTTCTGGTCGGTAAGGACAATCAAAGAAACTGCAATGGTGCGCGTGTGAAGCGCACCACGATCACGGCTATTGAGTGCGTGAGTAGTGATGGTAGATGTCTGCATCCCATGATAATCTGGCCAGCTTCTACCCAACGGTCAAACTGGAGCACGTGGCCCACGCCAGGGTGCACTACGGCTTCTCTGATGGTGGCTTTGCCGACTCGCTTCTGAGCCTACAGTGTTTTAAGGTTGTGTTTGGCCCTCAGACGAGGGACGGGCCCAATTGAGCAACTTGCTACACCGGAGGCATTCGACACATCTTTCTGTCTTTGGCTTGATGTTCAGCCGTTCATCCGTACTTAACAAGGCAGCGTCTGTTTTACTGACCGTAGTCTAGCGTAACGATGCCGCGCCGCTCGCAAAGAAGTAGAGTTCCAGTGCGACTACGGCCAATCAAAGTCATCAGATCTTGATGCACTATACGCCATAATGCTTACCCCTGCTATCCAACTGTCTTGGAGGGGTGGGTGAAAAGCCGCAGGACATAGCATGTCGCCCGTCCAGGAAGCGCTACGGTAGCTGACACTAAACTGTGCATGAATATATGTTTGTTTGTTGTACCGCTTATATAGAGGCTGTAGATCATAGGTATGTCTGTCACTGGCTCTCATTACTGACCGGCCTAATGGCCATGACGGCGATATACCGGCCTTGACCCCAACGCCTGTATATTTCTGCACCGGCCATTGTGTTTGGAATCCGATTCTGGATACCTAACAGTCGCGCAAATCCATACGGAATGATGCTAAGGCATGCCGAACAGTCTCCATAACGGCAGGACGTTGGCCGTATAGTCCTTGATAGAAACGTCTCGAAAGCCCGCCGTATACAGAAGTCGCTCGTATTCGCCTTCTCTCAAAGTATTACCGCAATGGGAGAGACGGAGGATCTCTTGTAGTGTATGGGATTCACAGTAGAAGTCTGCCTCGTGAAGTACAAGGACCCCTCCCGGACGAAGTAGTCGATAAAAGTTGTTGAGTACCTTAAGAGGCTCGTCGGCGTGTACAAAAGCTTCCATCGTGTAAACACCATCAAAAGATTGATCTGGGAAGAGAGCCACAGGAATATGATGATAGTCGGCGAGATGTATATCTACCAAGTCCCGTAGACCGCTTCGATGGATCCTACGACGAGCATCTGCAACGTGCCTAGGAAGCAGATCGATAGCGTCCACACGTAGTCTGTGGTTCGCTAGATAGCTAGCAACGATAGCAGATCCAGCTCCTACGTCGAGCACTCTCGATCCATCTGCCAGACCAAGCCGGTCAAGAAGTTTCTCTTCCATAGTCCTTTGAGCGCGGCCGATGGGAAAAGGCCACAAAGTCCCTGGCTCCCAATAGCCACAGTGTCGCGCATTACCTAGGAGGATGCGATAGCCTAAGCGCGATTCGAGAGTCGTATAGTAATCTTCCACTGTTGGGTCTGCTTTGCATCCGTTCATCATTGCAGCCAAGCTGGACAGAGAGTCAGCGCAAAAGGTCGGCGACTTATATACATCCGAGGAAAACATCTATACTTAGTGCCAACGCAGGGACTACGACGGCTGGAAAATTCCTGCGACAATATCAGTGGACTTTTCCGTCACAGGGAACGGAACCGGAACTACCGCAGAGAGATCAGTTGGTTCTACTATCGATTCGTGGCCAACGAGACGTTGCGCGATATTTGTCCGCAGAACAAGGGGTCGTCAACAAGCCGGACACATGACCTGCATTTGTTCACCTCTCGTTAGCAAGTGTGAGATTAGCGCATCACCACATCTATTCCTGTTTACATCACTGTCATGGATCACTCTCTACCTCATCAATTGGGCGCCCCGCTTCCACCCTACCGCTTTTGATAGGGACGGTAACAGCGGAATCTTGACACAACTGAGACAAACGCTAGAGAGGCGCGAGACCCTCGTTCAAGATGGCGATGTCCAGTCTGCGTTACAATACTTGATACTCTGCGGAACTGCAACCGGACTCCACCAACCCACGTCGCCGAAGACTTCCGTCGGAACGCTACCTGCATATGCTATGATGCTGGATTTCGCCTGGCATACCAGTCCCGTTGGTCGCTCGAGCCCGGTAAGCTATCTTGCCAAGTAACACGCTGGCTGTGGCCCATGGCGACTCGGCCGTCGCCATCAGAAGAGACAGAGAAGGCGGAAACCGGCACAGGGCTACCACTGCCAGCCAGAAATGGGGTCTCGTATATTTCCATAATGCTTTCCAATAGCGACAAGCTCTCTTCCTCATTTAGCTCCTCATTCCCCAGGTCTGGATCAACAATATGCTTAGGACTCTGTCGCAGTGCTTGATTAGGGACCTCGAAAGCCGTAGGAGAGTGTTGTGGGGGTACCGTAGGTGGTTCTTCCGTCTCAATCGTCGAGACAAGAACAAAGCGGATCCTCCGACGCCAGCACAGTACAGCTAGTCCAATGCCAGCGAGAATGAACAGGCTCACAAGCGCAGCAGCGGTAATTCCAGAGGCCTGTGCTCTGGTTAGATCCCTCAGAGCTGTCTTTGCTGGAGCAGACTGGACGAGTACTGGGGTCTGTGTGGTAGAACTCGTTGTTGTAATGGTGATATATGAAATGCTCGTGGGTAGTGCTGTTGGCATAATCGCCAGAGTTTTTGTTATGGTAATAGCCGTAGGATTAGACGATAGCGAAATTGACGTGCCTGTGAGATTGCAGGTCAAGCGTATCGACTCGGTGTTGCTTGGTTCACTGCTGTTCCAACTCTGATATCGGTGAGCTAGTAGTTGCGGGCCCATGATCCAATATATGCTTGAATTGGAGTGATATGGGCATTCTACGTGGCATTACAGATCCTTATAACCTGACAGCTGCGCGATGCGCCACGATGATGGTGCTAATTACAATCCCACCCCTCAGTTCTTTGGCGCCGTGAATGTAGGTTTTACGGTTTCTTACCACCAGTGTTATTCACATGAGTGCAACAAGGATGGATGACCGTGGCACAGCGGCGCGTAAAATTCTGAATAACCTTAACGGCACCAGCCGATATCCCAAGCGCTAGCTAGCGCTTTCAACTTGATCTTATTGTGTCCAGATGCGAGATCTCTCAAGGCGCAGCTGTTGCGACCCGAGCACGAAGCAGAGCTAGCGCACTTCGTATGCTCATCGCCTCTCTCTCAAGCGCATTGAGGCGCAGCTCAAGCACATGGATATGTGGTAGCGTTACGATATCCGCCACTAGGTCGCCCGCTTCCGTTTCAACCATAGCAGATCTCCTGAACAATTGCTGCGCCGTAGACGAATCCGGCCTCTATCTGAGGTTGTTGCATTTGCCAAGCCTCATATAGGTGGGACACCTTAACACCGTCGGCGCAGTTGACCATTATGCACTTTTCGCTCCTGCCGCGCTTATCGAGCTGGTCCACTTTGAAAGTGACCGAGTCCGCTGGCGGTTGGAACAGCAGCATACTACTGAAAACACCGTCGGTGCACATACTGCGTATTGCTGGAAGGTCGTCGCAAAGTATGGTGCTGGCGCCTCGAGCGAACAGCAGCTCACTCAATTGGTGGCTATCGGTGCCCACCTTCGGGCATTCCTCCAGATAAAGGCGCTGTCTCAAGGTCTTGGAGTTACGTATGACTGATCTGAGTGCTGGAGATGTCACTGATGCGTGTATCAGATCGATCATTGACAGGCCAGGATCACAGCAGATTCCTACCCATATCTCGGCCGGAACAGTATCCATTATTGCGGCCAGACCACCATCTGCGCACGTGCGGCGCTGCGGTTTGCTGTATTAGTAACTTGTCGACCGACCGACACTCACCAACCACACTACCTTTTGGCTCTGGTCTAGATGCATTGACCTTTCACAGTCTAACCAGACGTGCTTCCGCTTCATAGCCAAAATATAGGAAGTAGACTGATAAAAGGCTTCGGTTTTGAAAATGCAAGAGCGACTGCTTAAAGGTCCACGAATGAAAGAGAAGTGCTAGCCATAGGTGGTAGACGCTAAAGTTGCACCTGCAACCCCGTCGTCACCCACATCTCGCTGCTCACATTGCGAGTGGTCTGCGGGATGATACGTCCGCATCGACGGCACCTGCACATGGCTTTGATCACTGTTACATCGGCGGACGATACTGTTTTATGGTCCAGTTCGATCGTGGATCCGCGCTCAGAACATCGGCACCTTCACCCAAGTTCTAGACTTCTCTAGGTCGGTATGCCTGCTTATTAAGGAAGTCAGTTAGTTATAAACGACATACAAGATACGGACGATGATGTCGAGGCCACTCGCTTCTTGAAATGCTTCGCCCCCGCCCTTCACGAAAATCCCATGTTTGGCTACTAAACCGCCACCAACGAAAAGTGCCGTGGGCGCAGCTAGACCAATCCCACAAGGACAGGCAATCACGAAAACCGCAATGGTAAACTGTAGGGACCAAAACGGCCAACCGCCAACGGCGACATCCAAGTAGCCCGTCGGTAGTGCGCTAGAGACACCAAGCAATAGCCAAATCAGCCAAGTGGCGACAGCGATAAGGGTCACGACGGGAACGAAGAGACTGGTTAGGATGTTAGCCACAGTTTCGATTGGCGCACGTCGCGCTCGACCCTCTTGTACAGCGTCGATGATCTGATCCAGCAGGGAATGCCCGGAGGCGCCGGTAACTTGCATCGAGACGGGGCCGCCATTGTTGACAGTGCCGGCATATATCGTATCGCCAACAGCCTTTTTGACCGGCCTTGATTCCCCAGTCAGACCTGATTCATCAAACTGGACGCCGTCCCCTTCGAGAAGAATGCCATCGAAGGGCGGAGAGCCACCGTGCACGACCCTTACCACATCGCCAGTGTCGACCAAGTCAGTGGGAATAATTGTGGTGCTAACTGCCTTTTGACCCACGAAGCGAGAAATCAAGATCGTCTCCTAGGGCCGCAGTTTGCCTAGCATGTTCACCGCTTTGCCGGTCTTCCCTTTGCTGTATGCTTCGATTAGGCGGCCCATCAAAAGAAACATTGTGAGGAACACAACCGAGTCGAAGTAGGTCGAGTTCCTAGCCGTAGTCGCCAGGCCCGCAGACGTCGGTTCGATAATAAGGTCGACAATGGAGGACACGTAGGCAATGGTTGTACCGAAGGACAGCAGCATATCCATGCTTCCGAAGCGGTAGAACCGGCGGAGGACAGGCACAGGGCTGTTACGCCTCCACAGCGAATACAACTCTTTGATCGTGCGTCGGTGGAAGATGTCGGCCCCGTAGAAGTACACGGGTGTCGCCATGATCAGCATTGCCCATTCTGCCCGTGTGACCCTACGTAGCTTCTACATCAGATACCGGCGGCCGGGGTTGGTACTTGGGACGAGGCTCGTGAAGACGATCCCGATGATGAAGGTTGGAATGGCGACGATGGCGGCTAGGACGACGCGGCGAAGTACTCGTTGGCGAACGCGAGCCTGCATCTGTCTCGCACGCTCCATCATCGAGGGAGCATGATGTATGGCAGGTGTCAACGCCGTGTCAGCTGCCGAGATGGCCGAGAGGATGTCTCGGACGGTGAATTTGGGGGCATGGGGAGTGTACGACATCCTCAGTATCGGCTTCCTTGTAGTTAGGGGTAGTTTTATTGCTACCCTCTGACTGAGACGTTCTAGTGCTTCCGTGACACGGCCAGGGCAATGCTTACAGTACATGCCATCGATTCGAATCGACAACGTTCTGTGAGTGTTAGAAGTTCTGCGCTCAGTCCGAGATACAATGCTGTTGAGTTTGGCGCCATAGCCGACGTCCTCGATCGCCGTCAGAAGTTCCTCCAAGTGGCTTTTGTTCTCGAAGACGATTGTGGCACTGTTGGTGATAAGGTTGACATCCACCGTCTTCGTCCACGCGAAACTCGAGACAGCATCCGTGATGGTGCCGACACATGAGCGGCACGTCATACCCTCGATGGACACAGAGGCGGTCCACAGGTATGCCGCATCTGGAGGACCACTCGTTGGAGCAGGTGAAAGCGTTTCTACTTTTTCCAAGCTGGCCTCATAGCCTATCTCGTCGATGATCGTTATCAGCTCCTTCGCGTCGTGCTCTGCCTCGAACTCCACCGAGGCGCTCTGCGTGAGGAGGGTGACATTGGCCGAGCGCACCCAAGATTTTTCTTCCAGCACATCTGTAATCTTGCCCACACAGGAACTGCAGCTCATACCTGAGATTGAGAGGGATGCGTGGTAGATCGGGGTAGCCACTAGGTGTGGTTCGGTGGCGATCACCAGGTTGGCCGCCTTCTCATTGTCCGTTTCAGACGTTCCAGATAGACCGTGTTGCAAGCTGCTTTCGTGGGACTGGACATCCCCCGAGCCCGCGCGGCATTGGTCGCAGTGCTCCATGTGCCGCTGCCGCCTCGCATGCTCCTCGGCAATCTGTCTCCTGCGGGTACCGTGAGCGACGGTCTGGTTGAGGCCGTCCAACGGAATTTCATCTTCTGGCGCATCTTGCAGAGCGTGTGGGGAGGTCTGGTCGGGCCGGGACTGTGGGTCTATGGTGCCAACCCGGTAGCCAGCCTCCGCAAGGGCTTTGGCGATCGTGGACGCGTGTAACGACGCGTCGAGCTCGACCGCGACACTGTGGTCTACGGTTGAGGTCTCGATGGCGAAGGGTGTTAGGTGTAGATGGACGAGGTGTTGTTCGATGAACGAGGTGCAGCTGGCGCAGTGGATGTCGGCGACGAGGAAGGTGGTGCGGCGCCGCGAGGGTGAATCGGGCATCAATTGTCGACGCATCGTGGACGAGGGCGGAGGGGGGTATTATGCCAGCCACTGAGCGGCAGTGGACGAGCCTGGTATGCGACTCTTGTAGGCGAGACATGACTGCACTTGCGCGCTTTGTGCGGCTGCACGATTTGTGCGTGTTTAAGTGTCTCTTGCCAACCTCGCTCGATGCCGTCAATCCACTCTATTCTTCTCAGCTGCTGCCTCGATCCGATGTTGCTCTTTTCCTAGTACAGACCTTGTCGTCCCGCGGCGCCTCTTGCCGTGGTGTCGTCAGGTCTTGCACATCAGCTGTTCGCGCTGTCGAGCTTCGACGATCCTTGAGACTTGGACGGCACAATCGCCTACGAACCTCATACTTCACACTTCGTCCACAATCTTGAACAGAACTATACAGGAGATGACCGGGAAATACACCGGCGCGCTATCCAGTTCCACAGCTACAATGTCATATTCGGAAGTTCGGTTTGTCGCCTTCAACTTATCTCATCACGGACACATCGTGTACCGGAAAGTCGTTGCCTTCAACATGCTCTACTGCGAACATGCCGCGCACTGATCTTTCGCTGCCTTCATCTGCCTCACCGCGCACATACCGCGCGTCAAAACCAGCAAGCGCAGGCGCGACGCCAATGCCAAACGTCCCAAGCAGATGAGCGGGAGGCAAGCTGGCCAAGTGATTGGCGACGAGGTTGTAAGTCACAGAACAGTTTTCCTTGACTCGTTAGCTTAGGTTGCGCAGCTCGATATCGCTACTTAGATGAATTGGACAAATTGCGGTCCGGCGGTGCTGCAGACCCTCGATGGGCCCTAGTCAGACTTTCACCTCATCAGAGCTCATCGTGCCTTGTGATGCTGCCCTTCCTCTCAACCTCCTCTACACGGTGTTCCAAATCGTGGACCTCAAAGTCCTTCATATTCATCGTCGGAACGAACCAACTGCGAAATTTGTTAGTCACCATACCAGACTTCATGAGTGGCAAGGATACATACGGAGCGTTTGTGAAGAGATAATTCATTTCTTCCAGAGGCCTCTTTTTGGCTAAAGTTTATAGATCAGCGAGTGTCCAAGACACAGATATGTTGTCGGATCATGTAGACTTACTTTCAGGCTGAGTGGCCCAGAAGTACACTGCATTCGTAAAGTTGCAGACGACGAAGAGGATGTAAAACCTCCAGCCGATCTTCCCCATAGCGATTGGAGTCACTTGACCAATCATTGTGTTGAAGGCGAAGGAGACCATGACGCCGATGCTGACACCCTTCGAGCGGGTTCTGGTATCGAAGATCTCAGCTGGGACGATCCCTATGCTTGGTTTAGTATCGACGACGGTTTGAGTCGTATGACCTGAGATGGCCAAACTCACAAGAAAGGGGTCCATTAGTGGCTGAGAAGCTGATATTGTAAAGCCAAGTTACGACGATGAAAGCCCACGAAGCCGAAGCGTTGCTGGTGGAGCCGGGAGGGAAGACGGCAAGCATGATGGTAGCAATGGTGAAGAACAGGCAATTGGCAAGATTGCCACCGATCATGGCCCAGCGACGTCCAGTTCTGTCGATGAGCGCGATGCATGTGGCCTGCGCAATCAAAGCAAGGACGGACGAGATACCTTGATACTTCAAGGTGTTATCCGTGGAGATGCCGATTTGACTGAAGATTACCGGGCTGTAGTATTGGATCGCAGAAACACCAGTCATCTGGACAGAGGCCTGGATAGCTGTTGCGAGCAAGAGGCGGCGGAAGGAGCTGCGGTTCGTGAACAATTCGACATAGGACTTAGCCTCATTCTCATGTTCGAAAGAGATTTGGTCGCGAATTTGGTCGAACTCGGCTTGGACCCAAGGGTCCTGCTCATTGCCGTGCGCGTGTAACTTGGCCAGAGTACGAAGGCCCGCGTCAGCTTTGCCATGGTCGATGAGCCATCTGATGTAAGCGTCAGTGATGAGGCATTCAAGGTGTCGTACAGTTCATTACCTTGGCGATTCCGGGAAGAGCATGATTAACAGAGCGAGGACACCGGCCGGTACGATCTGAATGCCAAGACTGACCCGCCACTGCCTGCTGCTGTCGTCCGGGAAGTTTCTGTTGCAGCCGTATGTCGTCCAGGAAGCAACGAGTGCCCCGATACCAAGCATAAACTGCTGCAGAGCAGTAACGCTACCGCGAATGGACGGATGTGCAATCTCAGCCTGGTACAGAGGGATGATCATGACGAGGAATCCGACGCCGAGTCCAGCAATGGCACGGCCACCATACTACACGGAAGGTCAGCGCGTCTGCTTCTTGGTCCGAGACGTTCGGTGTTTTATTACAAAATAGTGCAGGTTCTGCGCACCAGTCTGGAGGCCACCACCAAGCAGCTAGCTTCACATCAGTCGTAAGCCTACCGGGCCTCCCTTACCAATCATGCTTACAAAAATGATAGCACCAACAAGAATAGTCAGTCTGCGACCAAGTATGTCTCCTAATGCGCCGGCCATAGCAGCGCCAAAGAAGGCGCCGCCGGTGAAGACCGAGACCACAGCTCCAGACTCCGAGGCGGTCGGGTTGAAGCGTGATTTGAAGTCCGGAGATGCGATGGCCCCAGCTATAACACCCAAGTCATAGCCGTACAGGATCGAGCCCACCGAAGCGAAGACGGAGATGAGAAACTACACCTCACAGTTAGCTGGCAGCCGTTTGTAATGAGCAGAGTACGAACCTGGTAGACCTTGGGATTGAGAGGCATTTTGCCAGATTGTCGGAATACCTCTGGGAGAGAGAGGTGCGAGGACGACGATGACCATGGGAAGCTGTGAACGGGCAAGTCGATCGATGTCATATACCTGCTTGCTGGAGCGACCTGTAGGACTAGGGCCGCATGTAGCTCGTCGCTACCCGAGACGAGCTTGGCTAGTTTGCGGAGCTGCAGAGTCTGGGGGTGTAGCAAGCCGAGGGCGTGACCTTATGAATCTGCATCGAGAGGAGCCGGCAGTGTACTCGGACATTCTTGGTGGCGCCTTGCTGAGAGCAAGCCCGGCAAGACCAAGCCGAGTTCTTCCACCACTCACAGGCCTCGCATCTTGACGCCACACTTCTAAACTTTTTCTGTGCAATTCTCCGAGCACAAGCCAAGATACCTTACTGCTATGAGGCGACGTTGATAGACCTGATCTCGACCCTATTCCAGCTGAGGCTGATAATTGCTGCATAGGATGACCACATTCACGAAACTCGAGGCCGGCGAACAGCCCAACATCGCTGTGTACCCTTCCCACAAGCTCAGCAGGATCAACGACAATATATATGGCGGCTTCACCGAGCACATGGGACGATGTATATATGGCGGCCTATACGATCCAGGGAACCCGACAATGGGACTTATTGACGAAAATGGATTCCGCACAGATGTCATGGAGTCTTTCAGGGAGTTGAACGTACCTGTTGTGAGATATCCGGGAGGGAACTTTGTCGCGACATACCACTGGATCGATGGCGTAGGTCCAAAGGAGAAGAGACCTCGAAGGCCGGAGCTGGCATGGGATGGTGTTGAGAGTAACGAGTTCGGCACCGACGAATTTATGATGTGGTGCGAGCTTGTAGGAACGAAGCCTTACCTCGCTCTGAACTTTGGCACTGGTGGGTTCCATCAATAGTTCCTCGTTGCCAGGTTATTTTGTTGACTCCTGGCAGGTACTCTTGATGAAGGTAAGCTTGCAGGACAACGCACCCGTCGCTTGGGAGTTCGCGTGCTGAGACTGCATCAGCATTGGCATGGCTCGAGTATTGCAACTCGGCTAAAGACACTTACTACGCGAACCTTCGCCGTAAGCACGGCCGGGATAACCCGTACAACGTGAAATACTGGGCTCTTGGAAACGAGACTTGGGGACCATGGCAGGTCGAGCAGGTCTGCAGTTCATCATCGTAGACTTCGTTACCACGCCAACTGACCTGCGGCAGATGACCAAAGAAGACTACGCGAAGAAGGCCTATCAATGGGCAAAAGCGCTAAAGCTCGTTGACCCGTCCATCGTTCTCATCCTGTGTGGCGAGACCGGACACTCCGAGTGGGACTTTTACACTCTCAAGGAATGCGTCCGCTTCGATTTGCACGGTCTCAGTGGCAGCACGACATCCAGTATGATCGACATGCACAGTATACACGTTTACACTGCTTCTAATGACCCGGTCAAGAACGCCATCGCGCCTCGCTCAGCGGAACGTGCGATTGAGATATGCGCTGGCTTGATCGACTTGGCCCGAATCCAGAACAACGTCCCAGCCACTGTACCGAGGCAGACCATTTGCTTCGATGAGTGGAACGTTTGGGACCCAGCTCGAGCCATCGGCGAGAAAGGCGCCGAGGAGAGATATACACTGTCCGATGCTCTAGCTGTAGCCATCTGGCTGAACGTCTTCATTCGGCAAAGCAAGCACGTCGGCATGGCGAACATTGCGCAGAGCGTGAATGTCATATCTCCGCTTATGACGACAAAGGATGGTCTCATTAAGCAGACGACTTGGTGGCCGCTGTTGCTCTTCTGCAAGTACATGCGCGGTTGGACTGTGGCAACGCATGTAAGCTGTGCAACGTACGAGGGTGTCACGGAGCCGGCTTGGTTGGCAGCTACTAATGACACACCTTGGTTGGATGTCTCGGCTACCGTTAGTGAGCATGGGTTTCTGAGCATGTGCACTGTCAACGCGCATCGAACCGAGTCATGCGAGGTAGACGTTGAGGGTGTCAAGCCGGCAAACGGTGAGGTGGAGGTTTTTGTGATCACAGGCGAGTCCTGGGATGCGACGAACATGGAAGATAGCGAGAAGGTCGGCATCAAAGAGAGCAAGTGGGACGGCAGCGGTACATATAATTTCCCTGCTTTCAGTATCACTATGCTGAGATGGAAGTGCTGATCGGCCCTAAATGATCAGTGTATGGCTCGGCTCTTCAATTTTCGAGCCACATTGGTGTGAGCAAAGCCGCATCAGTCGAGCTCGATAGAGTAACCCTGACCGGGTGAATTGCTACAGGACAGCATGGAACGCATGCACATCTCACAGAAGGCGAAAGCCGAGCCGCTGCTGCATATGTACCTCACCGTCTGCGCCCTACTCGATGCACGCGTCGAAGTCAGACTCTACGTTTTCCACACCCGCGTTCTCCCGTGTGCCAAGAAAATGAATGGGACCACCACACGAAGACTGCATTGTCACATCGACCTCTGCTATACTCGTACCGCTCCTCAATTTTGAATGCGAACTGCTGGCGTACATGATATCAACCAACTCCCAATGTCCGCAGAAGCCCTGTTCCTGCCTCCGTAACATCCCGCTTAAGCTGCGTCTGACCATCTGCCGACGACACTTCGAGCATCGCAACTGCAATCACCATCTGGCTGTCAAGGGCCCCACGGAAAGTCCAACGTCCAGAAACACGACGGTCAAGCACTGAGCACGAGCAATGCTTCCGAAGCTAGACCAGGTCAGTCGCCTCACAGCTCCATCAACCTTACAAGAAGACTAAGAGAATGGGGCGGCGTCAGGGCCTTCAAGTTCCGGATCACATTTGCGAAGTGACGATTTTTGACAATTTGCAATAGCGAGAGTACTTTGTGGGACTTAGCTTGTGGAGTCGGTACACTTCGGGGGTGAGTGGAGACGGCACGTAGACATACGGATTACTTTGACTTCATGGTCGAACTGGGTCGAGGTCGACCTAACCTGGGCCGTAGCGTGCTGCGTGACCCCGGATGCAGCGTGAATTTCTCCGGAGTGGCTCCATATGGATACGAGAGCCTCGTGGGGAGAAGTGAGTATCCGCCATCGATACTCTTTCGATGCATCGAGACTCCCATCACTCCATGCCATTGGTGGAATTATGGAAACAAAAGACGCCGGGGTTGGCACGGCACACATTTGGGTGAGCGGGGCAAAAAGTCATGGGGTCTGCTCAGGCTCGTTCCGGAATGATGACCTCAGAGGACAACAAGTAAGCAAGCTGTATAGATTCCTATAGATTTGCTCCTCGTGAGCTCGTTCCATTTGAAGTTGCTTGTGGCGAGCAGCTCAATAGTAAATAGTGTTTTCATGATGCTGTCCCTTATTTCCCTCCTTGCAATCGCTAGCATTGGCATACACACTACGTCTGCTCGACCCAAGTCGACACCGGTCCCTAGCCCAATCTTCTCGAACGTCACAATCTTCTCGCCTCCTGCAAATTACACCATTCCCCGAACCCTCTACGCTCGCACTTTGGAATTGAAGGTGAATTGTGCAGCCGAGGATGGCGTACTCCTCGCAACATGGGAAAATTATGGTCCAAACAACGATACGAACCCCTACTTCCCAATCTACCAGTCCCTCGACGGTGGCTTGACATGGAGCGAGCGGTCGCGCGTGTACGATCAGGTCAATGGCTGGGGCATGCGCTATCAACCTTTCCTTTATGAACTCGAGGAAAGCTTCGGTAGTTGGAATCCGGGCGACATCTTGGTCGCCGGGAATTCCATCCCCAATGACCTATCGAAGACACAGATCGACCTCTACGGGAGCAAAGACAAAGGGTCAGCCATACTCTTTCAATTTCACGCACACCAATATTGATGCTTACTGTCGGAATAGGCACACGTGGAAGTTCATCTCGCACGTAGCAAGTGGCGGCGAAGCACTTCCCAACAACGGCCTTACTCCTGTATGGGAACCCTTCATCTACGTTTATCAGCACCAGCTCGTCATCTTCTACAGCGACCAACGCGATCCTTTGCACGGCCAGAAGTTGGTCCACCAAGTCTCCACCGATCTCGTCCACTGGGGCCCTGTCGTCAACGACGTCCGCTACGACACGTACGACTTCCGGCCCGGCATGACCATTGTTTCCAGGCTCCCCAGTGGTGAATACATCATGACGTACGAGTTTTACGGCGCGCCGGAAGCTGCGTTCGCAGTGTATTATCGTGTCTCGAGCTCACCGCTGACATTTGACGGTGCGCCGGGTCATGTCATCCGTTCGGACGACGGCACGGTGCCGGTCAGCAGCCCGTACAATGTCTGGACCCCTGCAGGTGGGCCAAATGGTACGATTGCCGTGAGCTGCGGAACGCTAAGTGAGGTCTTCTTGCATACGGGTGATATCTCTCACGGCGGGAATTGGACGAAGGTTGCTACGCCGGAGGGTACTTCTTATACGCGCTCGCTCCGAGTCCGACAGAATTCAGATCGCTTGTTGATCGCTGGTGGTGGGGTCCTCGGAGGCGAGAACAACAGCGTGACTGCTAGCGAAGTGTCTGTTACTAAACTCTGGAAGGAATAACGTACTTTACGAGCGAGCGGCATATATAAGCGAGCTGCTTAGACGTCCATCTTATCTACCTCCCGCAGTATGCCAAACAAGCAACACTATAGTTCGCTCGTAGTTCCATCTTGCCCATGAACGCCAGGCTATGCATAAGGAGCAATTGCCTTGCGAATCGCCGCTTCCGGAAACTGTTATGTTGTGCAGAATGCAGCTCTCGTCCCCGTAGTTAGCCTCCAGGAATCGAGGTCTGTGATTGCGCTGTTGTCCCTTGACCATGTCGTTGCGTATGTTGTTCGGTTCACAGCCCACGGTCGTTTTCACACCAAGGGGTTAGAGGGTGTATTAGCAGAGAACTATGTAGCCCGAGCGCCACGCGCGTTTCACTGTTCGCTGAACGGAGAAACTCTCAGACATGTATATGCGGAACACCCGCCCTCATTTGCAAGCCTTGTCGCTCACCCTGTGTTACGGATAGAGAGAATTACTCCGTCACACAGACGGTGTGCTTAAGAACAGACTGCTAGGCGCATCGTTCAAGACGGTGTGCACCTCTACTCCTTTCAGCACGATTTCCCAACATAAGCTACGCGTTCGTTCTACTACCGCTTTCATGGCGGCGCATTCCCTTCTCCGAACAGTCTTGCTGGCTCTCACGCTGGTCGTGCTGAGCACCGCATTTTCGAACCCTCTACCATGCACTGGAGAATGCATTGATACTCACGATCCGTCCCTTATCCGGCGCACGTCCGATGGCACCTACTTCCGTTTCGCGACTGGTGGCGGCATCAGCATCCATACAGCACCATCAATTACCGGTCCCTGGAAGACTGCGGGCGAAGTTCTGCCCAGCGGGAGCAAAATCAACAATCCTGGGGCAGACGATGCGTGGGCACCGGATGTTCATTATGTAGGGGGGACGTACTATCTCTACTACGCTGTCTCGACCTTTGGCACGCAAACATCTGCTATCGGCGTAGCAACGTCGACTTCTATGGATGCCGGGACATGGACCGATCATGGCTCCACCAGCGTCACCTCAACAACCGGGGATGACTACAATGCCATTGATCCTAACCTTATCCAAGTCTCGGGCAAGAACTACCTCACGTTCGGCTCGTTTTGGGGCGATTTGTATCAGACCACCCTGTCATCGAACCTCGAGAGTTGGTCGCAGTCGACTCCGTACAGGATCGAACTCAACAGTACTAGCCCGCAGCCCAGTGAGGGCGCCTATGTGTATCACACTGGGTCGTACTACTACCTTTTCTTCAGCAGCGGATCCTGCTGTGGATACGACACGTCGAGGCCGGCGCCGGGAGACGAGTATAAGATCATGGTCTGTCGATCTACTACGGTGACGGGCGGCTATGTAAGTGAAGCCCACACCATGTGCCTTTTTTCTATTAACCAGAATCCGTCCTGTTTCAATTGACACACCTCGCAGGTTGATAGGAACGGACAAGCTTGCACGAACAGCGGCGGGACGCTGGTCCTTGGGTCCCATGGCGTGGTCTACGGCCCGGGCGGTCAGGGAGTCTATGACGATATTGTCGAGGGCTCTGTGCTGTACTATCATTAGTGAGTGCCCCTGTGGTTGTGTTCCCCATGGCGCAAGAACGGGGCTTGCAGCCGGCCCCTGCACACATCGCGGGAGAGGCCGGCTCAGCCTTGGCTGCTTATCCACGCTTCGCAAAACACTTACTGACCTCTTATCTCTTTCAGCGTCGATACCAACATTGGTTACGCAGATGGCGACAAAGTCCTTGGCATCAACAAGATTGACTGGAGCACCGGATGGCCCGTGGTCTAAGAGTCACGATGTCTTAGGGACTACGTGCAGCGACACGACCTTGAGACAAGTTGTATAACATAAAATGTAATAGAAGAGCTAACTGCCCCCGAGCACTATGGCACTGCCATGTGGTTCAATCTTTTGGCTATATGCTAGACAAACAGGTATCTCGATGCCCTCGCTGTTCCAAGCTCAATCACAACCGTCTCGGTCCCTCCAGTACACTGGACGAAAGGCAGACTCCTCAGCAATGAGCGGCACGCAAGCGACAACGTGGTGGCTTTAAATAAGTCACTCCATGAACGTCTTTTCGGGAACCACTTTAACTGTTCCTGCTGCGTCCGGCGCATTGATCATCTCGGCACTCACTCTGCTCGTGAGAATGGCTGGCGAAGCCGCGTGGAAGATGACCGCGTTTGTGTTCCATCACTTACGTTCTAGTCCTGATGCTGAAGATGGCCATGACCCGTCAAGTGTAAGTCTACCTTGAGCGACAGCGTTATCTCATTCGGGAGCGTGCTTTACCTGTGCAAGATTGGCCGGACATGGCGTGGCAAAGCCAACAGAGGCATGCTCAGAGTCCTTACTTTGGTCTGGCTAGCACTTTCGATCGCTCTCAGCTTCACGGTTGCTGGCATATTCGTGGGTCGGGGGGGCTGTCCCGGCGCATAAAGCGAGTCAGATCATCGCGAGGCCCACTAATTGTGGCCTCGAATCCACAAGAGCCGTCGTGGATGGCAAGGATTTGTACGGAAGTGCAAGGAAAGCATGCCGACGACATGCCACAAGCTCGAGCGTACGCGAACCGGTGCTACAACGTCACCAGCACGACATCAGACTGTGGGAGCTTGCCAGTTCCGGCACTGTCTGCCCTTTCGCCAATCGCTGCGGACTAGTTCAAGACAATGCTGTCCAGCTTGATACGGGCACGTTACATTCCCATGTGCATCTGGGTATCAGCGCCGCATTAAGCAATCGTGTCGGCTTCCGAATCTCAACAACTTGCTCAATCATATAGTTTGACGACCTCACGCGCATGGTCCCAGATGTCTGTATGCCTGTAATCTCTCGTGAGACTCGTGCTGACTTTCTTATTCTGCTCTAGACCCACGCTGGTGAATTTTCTGTCTTCAAGGTGTAACTTGGTCCCTTACATGGCGCAAGTGATTACACTTGGGTGTATGTAGAGCTATAGTCTCTCCAATAACACCCTGTACCTTGGTGTAAGTAAAGTCTCTTGTATTCCCAATGGCCGACTTGGCCTGAAACCAAGCAAGTGACTTTCAGCGATAATATGATCAGCGCTGACCGGAAGCAGCTCTCGCATCTACTATACCTCGACTACAATCACTAGTAAGTGGCGCCCAATCCCAGATCTTACCTTGTCGGATGCAGACACGTAAATACAAGATGTCGGCATAAGAATTGAGGTCTGGAAAGCTTGCCTTGAAGCTCTTGTACAAATTTTCGGTGGGCTTTTGGGACTGCCTGCATTGTAACCTCTCAGCATTCGACCTGGCCTTTGCGCGAAGCGTCCGCGCTTCGCGGACGCCAATTCCGGGGCAGTGAAGGCGCGTAATGCTGTAGCGCGAGGACGTCAACGTCAAGGAACATACCTTTCTCGGAACATCTCTGCAGACCCAACGCCAGTCGTAAATTTGAGTTCCTTCACTACAGTGGTGGTCCACGAGGGAGAATATAGGGTATCAGCAAGCGTTTAGGTACGCACGGCGTACGGTAGTGGAAGGGTGATAGGGATAGTCAAGCCACGGGCGGCCCGACATAAGCTGGGACGCTAAAGGGGTACGCACGGGTGAAGTGGCACTTTCTGTTCTCGCGCAATGGGACGCCAAAGGGTTCGTAGCTTCGCGGAATGTACAGGCCGCGTCTAGACAGCGTTATGTTTCGCTCGATGCGCTCTGGTGGTTTTACCGAGAAATTGGCACAAAGTACGTAGACCAAGGTCACACCTCATCCGCCACACTATGTGGCGCAATAACACTCTTTTCTAGCAAGCGTGGAGCTAGAGCTACATATTAATGCCGCTTACTAGGATATTCCTTGCTGAAAGTGTGGCTCGCCGTGCTTTACTCGGCAGATCCCGCGGTGCGAAAGCGGAAGCGCTCAGCCATTTTGCATTGCGTGGTCGCGGCGTCAGGGGCATCAGCATGTCGACCTCATTTCCACTACGGCATAGAACACATTTCGCCTCTACGCCAGGAACGTCCTAGCTGTGATCGAAGATGGCCCCGGGGTCAGTTCCTGTGCGTCCTAGGCGTACAGCGCGACTCATCTTGTGCCCTGGCATTAGCAAAATGGAATCGTATTAGCTAGATCCTGGCTTATGGCATACTCCATCTGAAGGATATCTGTGGCCACAGTAATATGGATCTGCTGTAAGGTAGATGATTGTACACGCATTAGGATCTGATGTAAAGTGATTGTCCTGCACAATCGTCACTACCATGCAGACTTATCACTGCCGCGATCTCAACGGTTGGCAAGCCCTGCAGACACTCAGCCTCTCAAGATACAGACAAGATCACTTACAACAGGCACAATGTCCGGCCGGGTCGAAGCACTCGGTGTAGACCCGAGCTAATAACCTCCGCCTGAGCGGCCCATCAAGCCAGTGGCCTGCTTCTATGTGCAGCCTCGCGTAGCTGGGAGCCCGCCGAGTGATAACTTCTGTCGCGCTGTCTATCTTATGCAACGGACACTAAAAGTCTTCAACAACGCAACTGCGATCAAAGCCAACAGCGAACCGACCAAATTGCTTCGGACGGTCCGCATTAGCCGTCAAGGCCTGCACATAGCCTTTGACGACAAGGGCGTGCGTGAGCTTGCCGAAGGTCAGGTTATGACTGCGGAGTTCTGCGAGATCCAATCCGACTCCCCATCGAGAGTGAGGAGGGAGTGGGACGCCGGTCCCACAGAAGTGCAATGCGACGGCGACTTGACTGCCATCGAGAGTGTCAGCAGTCGCAACGCTTTACAAAGGGCCTGCAGGGCGCCATACTCTCCAGGAACTGAAACACGGCATGTGCAGGCTGTGCAATGTCCGGCTGGTTGCGCCGCTGGCTGAAGGGTAGGTCTTGCCGCTGAAGTGGCAAACACCTCAAAGCGGCCCTGCCGGTGCCGGATCGAACCGATTTGGCCCATAAAAGAAGTGGGATATACTCAGGCAGGAGCGAGGCTGCTGACTCCACCGCTTCAAAGCTGTATGTTTAGGGGCGAATGAATGCGCGACGGAAGAGAAAGACAAGTTGATGCCATTCTATCGCAATATGGCTGCGCTCGGATGCGATTTCGCGCGGCTAAACGTTTGGGAGGTGGACGGCTGATCATCTCCGAGTTCATAGAGGATAGGTCTATTCTAAAAGTTGGCACACTGGTCATTGGTTGGGTCATATTGTTGGGAACGAGATTAGTATGCCCTCTTCTAGTACTGAATCAGCCACAGAGTAACATGAATGGTAGCTTTACAGCAACAGCAGATCGGCCCAGCCGGTAAGCATTGTACTGGAGGTTCCTGAACGTTTTTCGTGCTGCCAACCGTGTTGCTTCAGTCGCTTCTCTGTTAGGCGCTTCACTACGCTTTGCCCTCAGCGATCTAGCGCAAGACTGTCCATTACTTCACAACGCAGGACGAAGAACCAGCTCACAGTGTTGGGAGAGAAGCTGGTATTGCAAGCCACTGGAGCACAGTTGGATCTACAGGATATCTGAACACAGGAGGAACACGCACTTTTGTTAGAAAGTTTGGCCGGCCGTTAGCCTCAGTTTATTTATCTTGAAGGCGCTTCTAAGATGGGTTCATCCAAACCCACGATTATCGTGACTAGTCTACGCCTGCTGACAAAATGACGCCATTAGCTTGGATACAACTCTAGCGTATCTGAAATTCAATGCACTCAATGTAGTGCAGCAAGGCGCAATTGAAGCACTGGATCGTTGCATGATCGAGGCAAAACACCATTGTCTATGAGCTCTCGCCCTTCGATATTGACCGTCCCCTTTCTGCGTACAGCATCTGGAAGCGTGCTTTCACTTCTATGCAATCTGGGGCTCTAGTTCCAGCAGAAGGTGGCCAGAAAATCTTCCCCGGTCTAAGTCAGGACTGGACTAGTTGGCTCCTCTTCGGCGCCTGCCGTGGCGGATGTAATCTTTCGCGAAAGAAGCCATGTCAGATCACATTACTGGAGGTAAGGCCAAGAATGTCACTGAAGCTAGGCGTGAAGGCTTCAAATTTGATGATCGCCCACTCGCATCTTTGCATCCTCACAGCACGACTGATCACGTCTAGTTCCATGAGCTTTTGAGGTCTACGTCTTTCCTTTTCGTCCACAAATGCGTCATCGTACGCACTGTAATTAAGCAAATCAATTGAGCAATCATGGATGGCGCAACCCTCGAGCCAAACCGGACATATGATAGAGACGAGTCGCTTCGACACGAGGTGCGCAGACTGGGACTGCAGATACAGCAAGGTCTAATGTACGTACAGCTCTGGCGCCGAAGAGTCACTCGTCTCACATGACACAGGCCAATTCATTCCCTCCTCGACCACCTGTCGCAATTTTCGCGCTCAAGCCCAGGACCGCGACACGGAGTCATACCCTGTGATATGTCCGCCGTTGGTAGCGCTCTACCAAACCGAGCCCAGTACGAACCTGGTGGTCACAATGATCCGTCGCTAGCTCTCGTTTTCCATATGCATCATGCGTCACAGTACAAGGATCAAAGTGGCTCGCAAATGCATCCTACAGCCTTGCAAGCCCAGTCGCAGCAGTCCTTTCATCCACGATATCAAATGCGACCACTAGTGGATGAATGGCTGCAAGGCCCGAACCTGCTGACCCAGCTCCAATACCAACGGACGAACATGCTCAACTATGGTGTCAGCGTAACACACTACTCGCCCTTTGACACTCGATCTGGCCCTTCTGTCTTCGCAGCGGGTGGAGGTGGCGGGCCAGACTTTGGCAGTGTGTCATACAGTATATGCCCACAGATATGATTCTTGCTGATTTGAGACAGACCACGTCGCCCAACGTGCCTCTGGACCAGCTCTAGTGCCTTCACTTCCGCGAGGACCACCACGCAAGCCCAAGCAGTCAGGTCACGCGCTCTGGGTCGGCAATCTACCGCCCGCTGCGACAGTAAACGATCTCAAGGACCATTTCTCACGTGATGCGACCAGGGACATCGAAAGCGTCTTTTTGATCGCGAAGAGCAACTGCGCGTTTGTCAACTATCGCACTGAGGCAGCTTGTGAGGCTGCCGTGAACAGATTCCATGACTCCCGCCTTCACGGCGTTCGATTGGCATGCCGGCTTCGAAGAGGCTCAACCATTATCAGCAAGGCGTCAAGTCCCACGCCGTCCAGTGGAATTTCTAATGGTACCAGTGCCGCTCTGCCAGATGTTCTCGAAGGCCCCGTCATCGTTGGCGGTGGGTCTATGACCGAGTCTGAGCTTGTTAGCAGCGAACATAGTCGCTCTCCGACAGCGCATAAGAAAGTGCCAGAGAAGTATTTCATTATCAAGAGCCTCACAGTTGAGGATCTGGAAGCTAGCGTCAGGAACGGCACGTGGGCAACTCAGTCACATAACGAGGACTGCCTGAATCACGCATACGAGGTGGCTGAGAACGTATACTTGATCTTCTCTGCAAATAAGTCGGGAGAGTATTTCGGCTATGCCCGCATGTCATCTACAATCTCCGGCAAGCCCGTCAACTTAGGCGCGCTGCGCGAGACAGAAGAGGCTAAGACGGATGGCACGCCTCGATCCATTGCAACCCCAGCTACGAAGACTGCGCCAAGAGGTCGTATCATCGACGATTCTGCGCGCGGGACGATCTTTTGGGAGGCTGATTCTTCAGACACCGAGCCAGACGCGCTAGTGAAGGAATGGAGTGAGGAGGGTTGCGGTCACCACTGGAGACGCCAGTTCAACATCGAGTGGATCTCAACGGCTCGCCTACCATTCTTTCGCACTCGTGGCCTACGGAACCCGTGGAATGCAAACAGAGAGGTGAAGATTGCTAGAGACGGTACAGAGCTTGAGCCTGGCGTTGGTAGGACACTGGTGGGGATGTTCCATATGCTTCTGCCAGCAGCTCAGAGAGGAGCGATAGTGGTGTCATCTGCTCTTATGCCTTCATGACAATATATGAAGGCGTGAGCCTCATGGTGTATGAAAGGCTTATTTCTATACAGATGCACCTTTCCATATGTCTGCCCAGGTCTGGTGGCGATGCCATGCAACTTCCTTTGAATTGCTGGCAGCAAGTCACGGCACATCTGCGAAATAGGAATGATCAGTGTCTCGCATGATCGATGATCGATTCTGAGCCGCAGATGGATAACTTTGTCGAATTTCGACAGCCAAGAGCAGGAGATTGCCTTGCACGTGTGATACTTCTGACGACAGAATGTCGATAGAACTGGTGGTGCGGCTACTGCAACATAAATTCCTCCGTCATCACGTGCATAAGGACCCTGGTCCCATTTATGTCACCTGACGACTCGTACAAGGGCGAACATACCTGTCACAGCGCCTCCGCGTGATGCAAGTTATGCGTACAGCTGGCCGTAGATCATGTTTCCTGTATGATGCGGAGGGTGTGACTTCTTACATGTTGTGTTACGCGAGTTCAATTGTGCACTGCTTAGGTACGGCAATTTCTCCTAATTCTTTAAGGATCCATGGCTGCTTGGATCTGATTATTATATCACGAGGTGATCGAGTGATCAGAGATCACGGTCGCCTTGCGCGATCATGACATGGTCGCAATCATCAGGGGTGATCGCGATCACATACACGAATCTCCTATGTATATAGACAGGCTGTTTCTTATGTAGGTAGTTCGTGTTCAACCTAAGTTATCAACCCGCTGAAAGGTAGACAACCTTTATACGTTCATACCCGACTCAGTTGCTGGGAACTCATTGCTTAACGAGCTCTAAACCCGTGACCCTACCGCAGGCTCATAACACTTAGCCGCAACTACAACCATTGTTGTTGCCCTGCAAAGGAAGAAAGCACCTTATAGACGAGCGGATTCGTATTGTTCTTAGGAGTCGTACTTAGGAGTCGTGCTCATTGTTATTATCCCCTTTCGACTGATGCAATCCAACACCCAAGCCTACTCCTAGGACAATGGCAAGCACGGCGAGAGTGGCAAGTAGCCAGAGAAGAATCTTGTGGGCCTTGGTTAGGCGACTGTACCAGGAGTGTGCCCTGTTGCCAGTCTTGTAAGTGCGTTTGACGCCGTTGACAGCGCGTTCGTTGCTTTACATTATGGCCGGATTGCGCGACTGATTATGCGAAAGCTGTTTTTAGAGACGGATGCAGAGCAGCAGAGTGTGGCAATAGCTCTATCCGTGTCCGAGGGCGGCAAACCAAGCCAATAACGTGTGCAAGCAAAGTCAGAAGGCAGGAATGGCGGATTCTGTATGGCAGCAAGTTATAACATCGATTCCCCACGATACCCGGCTAGTTACTTGAACATGGCTGCACGCAGACAGATCCGTGCCCAAGAGTCACGGAGTGCTCTCCCGCGCGATGACTTCTCCGCATCAATGAATTGGTACCAAGCTGTTCTCGAAAGCTACAGTCTTGAAGCGGACGAGTCGGCAATCAAGGCAGGATGGCACGGGTCGATTACGCAGTACGCGATGCAAGACCCGCTAGCGCTAGCTGCAACTGTTCGAAGCTTAGAAGCGCAAGGCATGTTGGCTGATGACACCGTCTTGGAAATGGAGACGGCGCATCGCTGTATGATCGAAAAGCCTATAGAAACTGGCAAGGATCACGGTCAAGACAAGGTGGCAGTACTATAGTTTCCAATTTCCAGTTTCTACGTCTTCACCGCTACTTCTCCACCAACTACCAACCCGTAGCAGAATAGAACTAGCGTATATTGTCTTACAAGGCCAGATCGGTCCGCTCTGACCGCAACCCAGAACATCCACAGAAGGCGCTACATGGAGCCGAAAGGCACTTCTAATGCCGTATAGGGAAGATCTGCAGCAGCATTACGCCCTACATGTCGGGGCTCGTCGGAGCGGCCGAGTGGAGGGAACGCCAAGCCCTTCGCCAGGCGTACTCTAACACCAACAACAATAAAAACCGTAGATGGACACCTGTAACGAAGACAGCGAGAACTAGCAGATCTGTGGCGTTTCAACATACTCGGCGATGTTACCTCCGTGCCTGAAGCAGCGTCTCAGTTCTATGTACATAATTACGATCGCGAAATGCACATGGAGCATCCAACTCCCCGCGATATATGGTAACTAGACCACAGTAGGGTCCTTAAGACTGAATCCTCTCCTCGCCTGGTCCAGGCTTTAGCTATTTCTAAATCCGCTCCACTCACCATCCACAAGCAGCAGGCAAGCGCGACGTTTGCTAGCTTTCTATACGACATGTCTGCCACTCTTCTTTTGCTTGCTGCTCTCCCAAGTGCACTGGGTCTTGCCCGCCCTGACGGTGTTGGGACCCTTCCTGCGCTGGGTTGGAACAGCTGGAACGCGTACTGTACGTGCCGAATCCTCTGAAGCTCTCAATTGCACGGCGCTGAGAAACTTTAGTCTGTGATGTCAATGAAACGAAACTTCTCAGTGCCGCCAATCTCATCATTTCACTAGGCCTCAAGGACGCAGGCTATGAATATGTGAACATTGATGATTGCTGGAGTATCAAGGACGGCCGCGACAATACAACGCAACAGATCATCCCAGATCCAAACAAATTTCCTAACGGTATCGTTGGAGTCGCATCGGAGATCCACAACCTCGGTCTCAAAACTGGCATCTACTCCAGTGCTGGTACAAAGACTTGCGCGGGCTACCCTGCATCCATTGGATATGAATACATTGATGCTGCCACGTTTGCCGGCTGGGGGATTGATTACCTCAAGTACGACAACTGTTACGTGCCAGGCAATTGGTCCGACGCAAAGGCTTCCGGTGACAACTACAACTACAGCACCTCGAATACGGCAGAACGTTACCGTATCATGAGGGACGCCCTTGTTGCCCAAAACCGTACCATCCTCTACTCCTTGTGTGAATGGGGTCAGGCGAAGGTCTGGTAAGTTGTCTGAAGGAGCTCACCTTTCTGAGAGAAGTGCAAAACATGTTGTTCTGGGTGCTAAGCCTCCAGACCACAGCTCAGCGCTCAATTGGAAGAGCCTGAAACGCTACTGACCTTTTTAGGACGTGGGGCAACGAGACCGGCAACTCGTGGAGAACTACTGGCGACATTACTCGTGAGTTGCTCGAAGCGTTGTGTTGGGCTTGTTGCGCTGACTGTTCCTAGCCGATTGGAACAGCGTAATGTCGATCTTTAACGAGCAGACCTTCATATCAAACTACACGGACTTCACCGGCCACAATGATCCTGATATGCTCGAAGTCGGCAATGGCAATCTCACCCTAACCAAAACGCGCAGTCACTTCGCCCTGTGGTCTCTCATGAAGGCACCGCTCATTATTGGAACTGACTTGAGTAAACTCAGTCAGGAGAACCTCGACATTCTGCTTAACAAGTACTTGCTCGCTTTCAACCAGGATGCAGTCTACGGCGCTCCAGCAGAACCCTACAAATGGGGTGTGAACACCGATCAGACATACAACCGCACGAATCCGGCCGAGTTCTGGTCTGGAGACTCTTCCAACGGAACAATAGTCGCCATGCTGAATACACTTGACTCCACCCGCACGATGCGTGCCGACTTCGGCGAGATCCCTGGACTTGACGCTGACGGCCCATACAAGATGTTGGACGCTTGGACTGGTGAGAGCGCAGGTTGCGTCAAAGGCGGCCTCGACGCGCAAGTGGAGAGTCACGACACGGCAGTCTACTTGATTCAAGAATATTGCGAGTGCTGAATGTAGACACGCTCATAGCTTCAGCCTCTGGAGATGGTGGAACTCATTGGCGCCCCTGAATGAATGACTTCCGATGAACAACGGCCAGCAGCAAGGTGTCTTGTGACTTTAGATAAAACTGCAGGTGTGCGCCGTTCGGACAGGGTGGCCAGTATTCACACAACCGAGCATTGTTCGCTATACTTGTTTGTTTGATTGGCTGAGTGGTTTGCTAGTTCGTATCGCTGATGCTCTTCTTGGCTTGTTTGCTTGCTGGCGAGCTTACTGTCTTTACCGGATTAGGAAGACTGTTCTTGTTGAAGTAGTAGCTACTCATTCGCTCCCACATCTTGCGGTTCTCATGTCGAAGAGAGACGTGTGTGGGTTCGCTAGGTGCATGAAATTTGTTATCATGTGTCAGATCACTCTCGCACGTGCCGACATCCTTTGCGCTGCTCGCGTTAGCGTTTGGCACAAGTAGGCGATGCGGGTAGTACGAGGAATAGACTCGTCATGATTGCCGCTCTCATCGTCTCCAACGATTGTCTGGGTACGACCTCGAAAGCGTATGTCTTCTGCAAACGACTCGAGCTCGTTCTGAACTACGGCGCGTAGTCGTTTCTGATATCCAAGGGTCCAACGAGCGGGAAACGTCTCTGCTCTGATAAAGCTCCATGGGGCTCACCTAAACGTTCCTCTCGCTGCCGGCATCCTTCAAGGCGCGAACAAACGTCTCGCAGCAGGCTCGGAGGTTGCTGTAGAATCAGGTTGCGAAGGACTAGACTTAGCCTCGGTCGCAGTGTCTGTATGGCCGACCGTGCCGCGATCGAGTTGTGCTCTCACCGTAGGGTCGTATCTGGTGGCGAGACAGCATTGGATGAGGATGGTGGGCGCACTGTTTGTCATAGTCTCTCGATCGGGATCACTGGTGGTGGACTGTGCCTGTATATGCTATCTACCTCGCGCACTACCAAAAGCTGGTCTCCTTACTGTGTGATAGACTCTACCACCGCACAATGCGCGCTTGCTTTCGCAGTGAGCCATGCAGTCGTTCGATAGGCTCACACCGCAAGACTCAGTCGCTTTTGGAATTGCCAGAGGAGTCAGCTACATGAGAATCTGCTGATACAGTTAGGCTTACTATTGTCGAGAGAAAGCCCGGCTTGGACCCTGACAGCATACATGGCCGTGCCCTCCACTATCTGCATCTCTATTCCTCGCGACCTGTTCTTGACTCCTCATCATCATGTCTACACAAGGCGAACTTGATGTGAAGGACATCCATTCTCTCTCTGATGTTCAGCTCTTGGACGATATCGACAGCCTTCGAGCCCATGGCATCAATCATCTGGTAGCCCTACCTCAGCTCATCGTTTGTGGTGATCAATCCTCTGGGAAGAGCTCTGTCCTTGAGGCGGTTTCGGGCATACCATTTCCGTCCAAGGACACTCTATGCACCCGTTTTGCCACCGAAGTGGTTTTGCGCCGTGCAATTCAAGAAGAAGTCAAGGTCAGCATTTTACCGGGGCCTAGTCGCGTTTCCAAAGATGCAGCTGAAATCCAATCGTTCGAACACGATCTACGTACGTGGGAATCCCTCGAGGATGCGATGAATCAGGCTATGAACTCGATGGGACTCCACGACGACACGGGAACTTTCACCGATGACGTCCTTCGCATCGACATCTCAGGTCCTTCGAAGCCTCATCTTAGCATCGTAGATCTTCCTGGTCTAATCCACACTCATGGAAAGTCACAAAGACCGGAGGATGTCATTGTGGTCCAGCAGCTTGTACGTCATTACATGGCGAACGAAAGATCCGTCATTCTAGCAATTGTGTCAGCAAAGAACGATTACGCAAATCAGATAGTTCTCAAAATCGCTCGGGAGGTGGATCCACGTGGTTTACGGACACTTGGAATCATCACCAAGCCTGACACACTTGTCCTGGGTTCAGAAAGTGAGACGGCATACCTGAATCTGGCAAAGAACTTGGACATCAAATTTACGCTTGGCTGGCACGTCTTAAAGAACCGTGATTACTCTTCACAAACCGTCTCCCTTACAGAGAGAAACCAAGCAGAAGCGGAATTTCTCTCACAAGGCGTGTGGGTGCAGCTTTCTCGCTCCGAGGTTACAATTGCTCCTCTTCGCCGACGACTGAGCCGTGTCCTGCTTTCGCAAATAAAGAAAGAAGTGCCGAGCTTGTTACATGAGATTGAGATGAAACTCAATGAATGCAAGTCAGAGCTACGCCGGCTGGGTCACGCCAGGAACACTGAAGCCGAGCGGCGAAGGTTCTTGCTACGACTCTCTGAAGAATACCAGACGCTATGTCGGGCAGCCGTTGATGGGGTCTACGGAGGTGATTTTTTTGGAGATCCCCTCACGGATAAAGGCTATCAAAGGCGCCTCCGGGCTACGATCCAGAGCCTCTCCCTAGACCTGGCAGACGTTATGCGACGTCAGGGACATCGATACAATCTGGTCGATCACGAGCGAGGGAAGGATAATGCGAACACTTCTCTCAGCCAAATCACAATGACTCGCAAACAGTACATGCAGGTAGCAACGCTAATGCAGCCTCCGCTAATGTCCATTAGCGGAGGCTGCATTAGCGCCCGCTGGCACAATGCATCCACCAGACTGGACATCAGCTTCGCAAGTCAGGAATCTGATCTGTAGTCGGTCTAGATGTCGGCTATGCTGCTTTTGTCCATACAAGTCGCGGTATCTGTACTTCACTGATGCACCGCGATGCCATGACACATCCAACAGAGTCGTGATCTGCAATCGCATGGACATTGCTATAGAAGGCTGCACGTTTGCCTTCTTGTTCGCGTTCTCGTTTCCTGCATGTTTGCCTTCATAGGTGTGCTCTCACCGCTTGTACCATGCATTGGGGACTCGCAATAATCTGCCCATTCCTGACGCTGCTTGCTGTCGTAGCTGGATTCGTCGTGCAGGATATACGGACGTTCCACACGAACGAGTGGCAGCGTTACGTTCGCCACGCCTGCGCGATCCTCCAATGGGTACTCGCATGTGCGTACGGCGTGCTCTGGACCTGTTCTGAGCTCAAGGGCCCAGAGGAGGTGACTAGTGCCTCAGACTCCTTCAAAGCCCTAGCTGATCGCTGTCAAGTCATTCGACCTCGGGATAATCCTGTTCAGTGCCGTACTCTGCAATCACATCATTGCAACGATGGATGCTAAGATCGTCTTTGGCGTCCGTTCGCTCGTGATATGGTCGTGCCTTGCGGCAATGGCGTTCGTCGACATCGCTGCGATCGTCCTGGTCGCAATACAGCGACGGAGTGAAGTACACCAACCAGTAACTTCCCAAACGGTTCCATCTGACGGTGACCAACAGAGCCTTCGCATCGCAGCCCAGATTTTTCCACCAACTGCGACGGCAATAATCGAGGTAGCGATTGTGTCGACGATCGTATACGATGTAAAGAAGAAGATTGTGGCAAAGGAGCTCGACAAATCTTTGGAAGTCGATATGCCTTCTCGTTTGCTCCACAGATGGTTATCGAAGACGTATAGTACTCGACTCTTGTAAGATGCTTAATCAAACGCGCATACAGCTATAGCTAAAGTCTACTCCAGAGCTCTCGTTCCTTTACTTGTCTGGAGCATCGCACACAAATATACGCTCGTCCGACTGTCATTTCAGGCTGCGGAAATTCTGATGGTATCGCTCCCTTGGAAGTACTACACGGGCACAATTCGACTACGTAAGACGTATAAAAAGTCCAGGGACGAAATAGTCCGGAATCGTGAGCTCGCGATCGATCCTTATCATGGTCACAGGAGGATAGACGATACGCTGCAAGAGGGTGGCTCAACAAGGCATCTAGTTGATGATCTAGTTGATGGATAGCATGAATCGTCGAACGTGCGCCTCGTAGTTAATGGATTCGAATCGGATACTTCAGCCATGCGTTATCTGAACGCTCGCGTAGCATGTCATCACCACCAAGAGCGCTCTGACATATTTCTTGTTGAATGTCTCTGCGCACTGTCTAACGTTTGTTCGCTTCGCCCACTAACATCCGATGCCTCTACGAAAAAGGTCGTTTTTACCATGACGCATAGATGCAGGTGTTGTCTTCCAGCTTCGGAGCACTTAATCTCGTCGTGACACCATGGCCGACTCACTCTACCAAGGTTTACTGCTAGGAGCTTGTGGTGTTGAGCATTTGTACCTTAACAGCGTACACCGCAGCCAGCAGGCTGGAGCAGATCGGCTTCATGATCGCTGATCATAAGCGCTGGGCCGGACAACAAGATAGAGTCACTCCATCAACGTAACTCCCAATCACCCACTATCACCATCCCACGCAATCCGAGTCTAATTCCGCAAATCTGATACGACAACGCATGTTTACCACTTGCTGGGGAATACGATCTACACTGACTGATATGGCAGGATGCATTCTCCATGCGGAGTAGCATGGAAGCGCTCTTACACAGACAGTCCCAGGCATTGCAATCCAGAAGCTCTTGCAAGTTTATATCGTGTTCTATGGCGGGCAGTACAAAACGCTAGCAAGAACGTGCGTGGTCGGGGAGGAAACAAAGCAAGTGTCGGCGCATTAACTCTACATGCGAAATACCTGGCGTCTTTTACCTTGTATTACAGTAGCAACGCCGAAAGTGACAAGTATGCCAATGCGAACACTGTCTGTGCTTGCTCTGTTTGAGGGCCCGATGCAGTATGCGAGTAGTAATGTTGCATTACTGCTATTGGCGCTCTGCATGCGCACGCGCGATTTGATTTGACCAATTGATAGAATAGCAATCGGTGTCGTGCGCCGTCCCGCCATGAGCGCCAAACGCCAGGCTCGAGTTTTTTGCGGGCGCAGCACCTCGTCTTCGGCCTTTCGAGGTCGGTCGTTCGTTGTCTTGGGCTCCCGCGATAGGACAGGACGGCCACAGAAGCATGAGGCTAATGTCTGATCCACGGAGCGAGGCTGGACTTGGGAGATTTTATTCACGACAATGACTCATCATTGTACGAACCCATAAAAGTGTGTCGTTTGCTGGAATGATCTGCTGCGTGTACAATAGGAAGCCAAGCGCTCGACTCTCATCACGCTTGAGCTATTGATTAACGCTCGATGCGCAGTAAGTTCATCTTCTACCCCAACAGCCTCAATCTTGTGGACCGTAACCAGAACAACAAAGATAACGTGCTTCAGGGGTTGGTGCTCCGCTAACTTCTACCAAATTATTGCGCCACAGCATCACTATCACGTTGCACATCTATGGCAGGCTCTACACCATCAATCGGGCTCCAGCTCGGAGGCGACTACTATAATGTTAACATCGCGCCTGAAGACTTGCGTACTGCGGTTGTCGGCATACGAATTGTAGTGCATACATCTGGTCGGATTGGAAACACGAATGCCAGCGACAACCATGTAACACAATACCTTCTTCTCCAGAATGGGAGATCTCTCCAGATCAATATGCGCCATCAGAGTGAAGATCTAAACGGCATACTAGAGGTGAAGAGCAGGGACTACACTGTTAGCCGTACAGAGCTTGAGAGATTTCAAGCGACACCACAAAATGGAAGGATGACTGCAACTGCAAGTTTCACAGCTGGCCAAGCATTCCGTGTCATGTGGCAGACCGAGTTACATGAATTTGTTTTCGCTGGAGGTGGCAATGGTTGCAGGCACTGGCAGTAAGTTCCCGGCGGGAAATCGCACTTCATCCAGCTAAGGCTAAGAACGTCCAGAATCGTGCTTTTAGCACTGTATGAGTCAATGGGATGGGTTGCCGGAGGCACAGCATTGCATCTCCATTCATTTCTGTCTGACAGAAGGTCTAGCCGGCAAGATCCGGTACGTATCGTAATGCAGCAAGGCACTTTCGACGTGGAGACGACTCAGCAGTATGCCGATCGAATCTGGATGTCTATGCAGAACGCTGCAGCACAGGAAATGTTGACATTATCAGCATCGTATCAAGCTGCCCCAAATGAGACCCTCCGCCAACAGATTCTAGACTTGCGCTGGCAAGCTCAGGCGTTGCACGTATCGGCGACTGCGGGGGCCGCTCTGGTCGAGCGGAGACGCGACGAAGAAAGCGATGAAAGCGAGGACGATGGAGGCAATGTCGGTTAGTGGGTGTCATTTTGCGGTGCTAGCTCAGTTTCGATTCTTCGTGCTAGCTCGAGCTCAATGTCAACGTAGCGTTCCGCTTCGATGGGGCATCTCTTCTTTCTTGTGGTCCCCAATTGACTCTTGTGACTTTGTACCCGAGGCCTACATGCTTGGTAAGATCTTAGTGTCTGGTGATTCGGGGGAAAACTTACCATGCAAACCGAATGTTGTTGAAAGCATATTCAAGTAGGAGCTGCGCCTGGCAGGTCTCATTATCACTGAGCGGGGCTGTACTCTTCAGAGTATCGAGCACACGCTGCCGGAAGCGAATGTCTTCTACATTTGCTCCATAATCCTGACTTAGAGCAGCAAACTCAGCAGCGCGAGGGAAGTAACCTGCGAATTCCCAGTCGAGGAACCATATGCCAGATCTTGAGAACAGAATATTCCGAGGTGCTACATCACCATGAGTGAAGACCAATGGCGACTCCCCAAGGTTGAATCGGCGAGACGTGCTTGAAGTCCTAGAGTTTACCGTATACTCGATGTCTTGACTGCTGAGCATCGTAATATCCTCGTCCTCTGGCCAAAGCGTACCAGAACATCGCCCTCCACCTGCGGGACCCGCCTGCTGACTCGTAAAGCCATGCAAATGGTTGACTATTCTAGCAACCGTATCTATCGTCTCGTCGTCGAGAATGACTGTCTTTGGCTCGCCCTCCACGTACTCCATGACCAAGTAGTCTTTGCCAGCGGCACTGAAATATCGAAATACCTGCGGTACTCGGACGATGTTGGGATTAAGGACATCATGAGCGTGTCGCTGATTGTTCACTTCTTCTCGAGATACGTGGCCGTATTTGATAGCAAATGCCCGAAGGCGAGTAACGAAAGTTCCAGCATAAAACGGCTTAGAGCAATCCACAGCTAGGCAGTGCTGCATGACCTCGTCGTCGTCCGGAATTTCCATCAGAGGTAGGGTTGAATTTGTCGCTGCTCGCGTAAAAGTTGGCTGATGATTCCAAGTTGACCCGTTACCAGACAAGGAGTGGCTGTGACATCACTGTTAGAGTGGCTCGGCGTGAAAAGGTATGACGTACTTACCAAAGACTGTGAATGGCCACTTTAGGGCTGCAACGGACACGTTCCCATAGGCGGTGGACAGATCTATTGCCGCAGTTCGGTGCAAAGCGACATTGAGGGAGACAGAGGAAGTAGACCAGAATATGAAGTCAAAAGTTGCACGCACGTGTGCTGGCACGTGGCAAGCTCACGCAATCGCGCAAATCTGTACACGTTCTATTGTAGCGTGTTCCTCCCGGCTGCACCGAATCTGGGTCCTGCGCAGATGGACTGGGCCATCTTTATCTGGGGTGTGACTGTGCCGTTCGTGATTAGACTGCTTTATCGAAGGCAGGAATGAGTTCGACGGTCTTGCATTGGTTGTCAGGAAGACATTTAATATGAGCGGCTTGCCAGATTGGACTGGTATGCATCTCGCTGCCGTGGCGAAGTGGCATTGTTTCTGACGCAAGTCATGTCGACCTGAGCCTATCTGTTACAGAAATCGTTACAGACTTACATCTTAAGGTACATGATACTATGCGAGGTTTGACAGAGCAAATTGGGACTTTGCTTAGGAGTCTTACACCGAGGGCACTGGAGCAGTGTACTGGCATGAAGACGGTCACAACCCATAACCAGGCTCGATGGTAGTCTGTATTCGGAGATGCGAAGCTATGTCTGTGTTATGCCTAGAAACACTGGCCGATGTCTTGATAGGGAAATCTGATATGCTCAGACTCTCGTAAGTCCGCGATCATTCTTCGACGACCAAGTGGCGTGATAGTGGGAGTTGCACTATTGGGAAGCCGCTTGGAATCTCGATGTCGATAGGGAGGCCAAGTGCAGCAGGACCGGTTGCTTGTCCTTCCTCATTCAACTTCTGGCTTACAGCTTTCACGAGCGACTGGAAGGCTTTCTGGCTGTCCTCGCCAAGGCAGAACATATTCCAAAGCTCGAAAGCAACGAACAGGCTACACCAGTCAGCTCTCACTCACGAACTCATTATTATGCATCAAGAGGGCACATACATATAAACACCGTTCCCGGTGACGCCATCCGACCAGAGACTGGTCTGCCCATAGCCCTTTGCGATCAAAGAACGAAATACGTCCTGGACTGTGACGCAGCTGGAAGTTCGCAAGAGCCGTTCGGCTTTGACTCCGAGAGCTCCATGGCGGAAGTCGACACGTGCACGGGACGGTGGAGTGTTCGTTGACAGTACCTGCCGGTAGCTTACAACAACGTCATCGCAGTCGAGGTTAAGCTGCCAGATATCTTCTGGGCTGTAACTTTCCGCGACTGTCATAGTGATGCTCGTGACGTTAAGATCCCATGGCGGCGTCGGAAAGCCCGGATATTGAAGGTCGAGCGGCACCAAAAAGGGATCAAGCGACGAGCGTGAAACCGACCCGCGCAACGTACAAGTACGGTCTCCATACCAGCATAGATCGCAAGTCTCTTCTTCGGTCCCCCTGACGCATACCGAAGATTGGTCCTGGCAATGGTCGCATTTCTGTGTTTGGAAGGTCTTCATACCAGAGAAAAACGCCATAGTCCGCGGAAGGTTGACTACGGGAGGGGGGCGACTGTCGAGCTATTGCGGCTTTCACTTCGCAGGTTGAAAGGTCTTATAGTTTCGTAACCTACTCGTCCGGCGCATCTGTAAGACTTACGATCTACGTCAGGCCCAAGGGCGCGAGATAGACTTCGGAGCGCTTCACCCGCATTCAGCTGCTTGGACCAGAAGACCTAGACCCTGCATATGAGCAGGCGATTGTGGACAGAGGATGAACACAAACGGCTAGAAGATATTTACATGCCTAATTTGGAACTGCAAAGTTTTGCATGTCCTTTCCAGGAAGTGAGCCTGAATGGCTACCGCACTTGGACCGTAACCCAATTTGACGCTGAGGCTCAAGCAATAACACATAGTACCACCAAGATCCCGATATCAGGTTCGGCTATGTCCGCCGTTCTCCTCGGCTTTGCATCCCTTCAGTGCTACGAGGTGCGGCTCGCCGTCTTCGCTGTGAAAGGCCCATTCGGTGGTGGCGTAAAAACAAGACACCTTCGATTGGGGGTTCCACGTGGAAGCGATTGTCCCCTGCTGGTCTTCAAGCATTGTCTCCATCTGCATCTTGCGTCCCTCACCGATATCAACGACTGCGATGATGTTTTCGAGACTGTACCCTTGAAGAAGATCTGCAACGTCGTGTAAGAACGCTGGGGACGGTGTCGAAGTTGGTCTTACAGAAAACTCGAAAGCCAGGAAACGACCGTTTTGAAGGTAATATGATAACGGGTGTACCTTCCGCAGATCAACAGGTTCTGGGCGGCAGATATCCTCATTGAGCTCGTTCCAATCATGGACCATTGCGTGTCCGGAGGGTAGGTCTATGTGACGGTGAAGAAGAGCGATTCCGAATTGCAAATGCGCTTGGTGCCTGACGAAAAGTCGACACAATCCAATCCATGCCGAGGCAAAAACAGAGTGATTGAGAGCAGCGATTTGGCTGTCGATACCAGGAATATGGTTGTAAAGGGGAGGTGCCGTGTGGCCCGCCATCGCACGCATCATGTTGGTAGAATGCAGTTTGTCGTGCAGTCAAGGCGGCAGGTGCGAGTATTAAGGAAAGAGTGACGTCAGGAATTTGTGCATGTGACTTCATCTTGAAGAATCTTGCATGCAGGAGTATTCCAGCATCACCTGTTGTGACAATATTCCATGGCATCAATACCTACTCTCACCACAGAGCGGTCGCACGACGTAGCTCTGCAGACCCAGCGATATGCTAACGCCATTGGCAGTGCGACATCGCTATCAAGCATTTTAGAACTTCTCGAATTCGCCGCGGATGCCACACTACCTCCCCTGTACGCCGATATTTTGGACTCTTCAGAGCAGCCAATCTGGTACGAGATGCTTCGCAAAGACGGACTGCCACAAAGAGTTGGCGCGATTGCAGATGAATGGGCTGGAGCAAGTGCAAAGAATGGACACCAATTGGTACATCTTGCTGACGGGTATATGGCAGAACTCGACCAACATCGAGCGTGTCGAGGCACATGTCCAACGGCAAGCCAAATGTAGGGGATCCTCACTAGTCAAGAAGTTCGGATTCTGTCGATTCAAGGCAGCCCCTGCTGCCGAAAACTGGTATTTTCTTGAAGGCGGACCTGGTGTAGACGCAACTAGACAGACGGTCGTGTTCATCGCCCTTCAGGACCTCAGCCCACACAATGGATTTCCCATCGACCTATCCCGTGGGCGAGACGTTTGTATGGATGGTAACCTGGGTATTTGGACACCTCCTACCGGAGGTGGCCTGGCAATATTCTTTTCACTGGATCTATGATGTTTGTTGACGCTACAGACGTTGTTACGGATCTGCGGATGCATCGTGACCAGCAATAGTCACGCTTGGCGATTGTCCTATCCTCCAAACGTTCCTTCGGATTTTGAGAACATGGCCATTCCTGTAATTCAAGATCTGGCTTATGCGCGCTATGCTGCCGTACTTCAGTGGGATATACTACCCTTGGGGATGAGTACTTACGGAACCTTATATCCGAGAATATGATTCACAATACTTGGCACAAAGATGGGAGTCCAAGGCCTACTGCTCATCGTGTGCCCACTGAATGCTTCCTGGGTCAACTTTTGAACTATATACTCCAGAGCGGAACGACTCGAGCTCATCAAAAGAAAGTAGAAAGCGGGCGTGCGATTCCCTGGATCATACCGAATCAGCCCGTGGACTTGAACCGAGAGATAGACGACTTACACACGAGCAGCAACTCACTGGAGCGATAACCCCATCCATGCAAGTTGAGTTTGTCGATAAGCTCGTTCACGGCTTTGGTAGATCGCACAACGCGTCTGCAATAACCGTCTGTAACATTTCCCATACAGAGTTTAGCGACCGTAAGGACTTCGGCAGGCGAGACCTCTTCCTCCTCCAGGAGGACCGCGCAAGCCGAGAGAACGAGAAATTTCTGAAAGTTCGCCAATGTCAAAGCGATTGAGGCTGCCATTGATCGGGTAGCAGTTGCTTGGGCGTAGTGACGGACGTAGCTTAAAACGTCACCTTGCCGTGGGACCGCAGACTTGCCCACCGCCGACATGTCCCGCTCCACGGTGGTATCCAGCAAGTACGTCAACGCGCTGCCAGTTTCCATGATGTCGTATAGTCCCTTGTCATGGAATACTTGATCCCAATGTTTTGCTGTTGGCGTCTCCCCCACCAAGCATTTTGCATTGGTCAGCCACCCTGGACTGCTGCATCGTTTTCTTTTCGTACCAGGCTCGCAAGGCACGAATCGAATGTCGTTCTTCTCCCTTCCCTGAACCAACCCCGTTTGTGTTGATGGGACATTGAAAGGTGCAGCGTTCGTGGTTGTGGCGGCATTGTTGTGGTGGGCGAGTTGTGTTCTCAACGACAATACTGCCCGTTCCAAGTATTTTATGTAGTCACTCTCAAGGCCCATGTAACCATCGACTCTGCACATTGTTATCACTAATGCTGTAAAGTTATGTGGCCGTTTGACGTACGACAGAAAGAATACAGTTGGATTCGCACCCTGCCGCATTACGCATGGGAGGAACCCTGAACGGGAATGATAGATTTTGCTGCCCGAAGATAGTTAGACGCTCCGGACACTTCCCCGCGCACTACTGTACGGTCAACCTGCAGGGAAAGCACATGCAAAGAAGATCGAGATCGGAACTCGGCATTCAGAGAAGGCTTCGGAGGCGGGTGCGGCAAGGGGCGCGTCGACGGCAACGCTTGTCAGCTGGTGGATGCTACTGCATAGAGTCAGGGATGCCGTAGATAGACATTCATCGCCAGACATCGTGAATAACATACCCCACGAGAGAAACAGTGCACAATTGTATAAGTGAGTGGGGTGTATTGACGTCGTTCATCTCACTCGATTGTTCTTCCTCGTCGCGGGGGCTTTCTTCCGTATCTACTGCTTTCGAAGCTTTTTGTCCTGCCACACCATTGCTATTCAGCCGCAAGTATGCATATTTGGATTTATGAGGGGCTCGTGCATCTTCTGTTCTCGACAACAAAGATCAATGGAAGGTTGTTGCGACAACACTCTCAAGATTGGGTATTGCGACATGCCGTTTCGGTCACGATCTGATCGCGAACTCGCCGCCTTCGAGCGATCTCGGCGCTACTTACTCCTTCAGGCGTAACAAGCGTGCAATCTTGCAGCTCTCCCAATAAATGCCATATGAAACCCATCGTTCTTACATAGTCCATTTCGCAACAACAGCTACCTCATCCGTCTGCCTTCCTTCTTCGAGACCACGGCATCACAAGGAGCCTCCAACATCCACCATACTCGACATGGGCCCCACCCGTCCTATATTGGCCCAGAGTGAGTCTAAAGGCAGGTTCTTCGAACGCCTTAGCTTGGACAAAGACAATGCATCTGCCCGCGATACTTACGCCAAGATGAAGGTTCGCTTGAGCTATAGTGATCTAATATATCGACATCGATCTGATATAGTATATAGCAAGAAGCTATAGACGCTCGCGAGCGTTTGACGGCGGCCCTTGCGAACGCCGGTGTGGAGCCACCATACGATCATTCACAGATTAGTGAAGCTACGCTACAAAGCGAGATACAGAACATCTACCAATGTGCAGCACCAGAGACTCAAGCTCTTTACGTCCTTGGCCATGATCGAGACCAGACTCTGCCAGGAAATTGGGTAATTAGGTGGATGCTCTTGCACGCCTTCCGCTACCGAGACGGTCGTAACCGCAATCGGAAGGTGAATAGAGCTAGCAATGGTGACAAAGGTGACAAGGGCGACACGGAAGCCTCAGCTCATGGTCCGAGTGTGGGCTTGATCTGTAGGTTCTAGCATCAACTGGAGACATAGACTGCTCTCAAGCGAAGAAAGACAGCTGATACTTGACAGATGCATCAAGACCCGCAGTTTACTGGGATCCGGTGAGAAATGGGTGACAGATCTCTAGACTCCACCAGGATATCAACTCAGAAATCGCCAGGTACTACATCAATCTGTCGTATCCTTTCTCCCAGCTGAGTTGGTACAAGATTCGGACCCCACGGCTTCGAGCTATAGCCACGTAATCCAAACGCGCATGTCGAACGAGCGATCGCAAACCACCGCGACCAGCAGACCATGGTGGGCGAGCTGCCGACTTGCCGACCGTGGTGTTGGATGTAGAGATGGAGCAGGTAACGTACACAAGCGGATTGGGCTAAGTGAACCCTGCAGGGCAAGAAAGAGAGTAGACAGTTGCGAGAGTTGTGAACAGGCCATGCGTTGCAACAGAAATCTAGGTCTCGAAAATCTGCTCGGAGCTCATTCCAGCCGTGTAATGTGTCTCCCACTAACCTCGGGCAGGATAAGGTACGTTGCATACCACATCCTTCTAAACCCCCTCTTCAGCATCACTCGCCTCCACCATTTTCTCTTTCATGCACGAGTGATGGGGGCCGGGCAGATATGGATGCCCCCCACATAGCCTAGTACATCTACGTCTCTTGAGGTCGCATGGGCAATCCTCCAGGGCGCAGTTCTTGCAGTAGCAGCCCAGTTGCTTGAACCTACTACGTAGTCCATGAAACGTCCTATTCCACATCTTGCCCTGCTCGCCGTTGCGAAACTTCGCCTTCTCCGCCTCAACTAGCCGCCAGAGGCGCACTAACACCTCGCTCAATTGATATGGAATTGCTTCATTCGTGGCCGCTTGATGCTCACAGATCCATTGGACTGATTCCAGGATCTGGAGAATGTTGCACTCGTCCCAAAACATACCACCTTCCATGTACGAGGGCTCTGGAGTGCTCACGGCATGCACGATTCTCGGGCCAGCCGGCATGATAAATACGTCGCCTTGCTCTAGCGGGACTAGAAAAGACTTGCCGTCCGGTAACCAATGGCAGCCTTCGCGATTGAGATCTTCCCAGTCTTGGGTCGTCATGTCAGAAGACTTCACGAACATCCAGAACTTGAGATCGCCTGCCACCTGACGCACGAACGTGCCGGCCGCAATGTCCACATGACTCCCGCTGAACGCTCCCTTGTGGGCTAGAAGGGCGAACTGTATGCAACTCGCCATGTCGTTTGGCCGCATTTCAGTTCGCGCACTAGCCTCTGATTGTTCACCGCCACCCTGTACCACTTTGACCGTCTCCTGTTGCTTGCCAGGATTGCCGCCGCCCTGGACACTTTCGGTGAGGTCCTCGAGCAGCTTATACCGGCCTAGGCGCGTAAACATCGGCCGATCAGCATTTATAAGCGGGCGCAGATCGATCGCATTCAGACCCAAGTGGTTCCGGCCCGTAGCGAAGTCCTTGACCCCCAATAGGCCTACATTACCGAGGCCAAACTGTACCTGGAGCTTAGCATCGGAGTAGCGCCGTTGCAAACGAACATACGCCTCATCGAGAGTGTATGCGCCCTTGTCAAGGAAGTCCTGCTTCAGCAGGATGGGAACTTGCGGCTTCCATTCACGATTCTTAGCCTTTCGATCGAAAGCTTCGGCACTTAGACAAAGCAAGTCTGCATCCAGCTCGTTAGTTGTATTTCCGATCAGCCCTCCACCATCACAATACACCTTCGGGCACTTGGATCCCAACAACCACGCCTTCTCCACTAGCTCATCTGTTTCTTTCGCGTAAGTCACCAATGCCGCCAAGTGTTTATCGACCCAGTAACCACTAAGATACTCTACCGAGTCGGAGCACTCGAAGGCTGGCGTTAGCAATGCGTACGTTCCATGGGGTGGTTCAGAGCTGTCTGCCGCTGATGAAGTGGCTGGTGTTGTCTCGGGTGTTGATATGGGTGTTGGTATGGGTGTTTCTCGTGGTGTGGACTCAGACTCATGTATTGTCGGTGTAGACGACGCTGAATCAGACGCTATGGTCTCCTGCGGCACTTCCTCTGGTGTATTCGGCACCGTCTCCCCATCTGTATCCTGGGCCCGATCCTCAGCCTCGTTCTCGGTCTCGTTCCCAGCTCCATCTTCAACCCCATTCTCATCTTGACTCTCATCCTCATTCCCGTCCTCGCCCTCGGACTCATTCGCCATATCCCCGACCTCGGCCTCGGGACAAAGACTAGATATGTCTACTCTTGTATCTGCACTGCCCAGTGACACCTGGCCGGCAATGCTACTCTCGATCTGCGCTCCTTTGTTGGACTCTCTGCCTTCCCTGTCAGTCGATTGTACCACAATTCCCTGTAGTCCTACTTTCTTCCAAGGTGAACCTTCATCTTCTAGTGTTCCTATGGACAGTCTCGTCCTCTTCTTGCCATGACTTTCCTGTACGAGGATGCCAAACTTATCCTTGGCGAGCAGATGCGTAGCCTGCGCAGAGTGGGGCATGTCGATGACCCTCAGACCGGTAGAGAAGCGGAGGTGTTCAGGCTTGTACGATAACCAGTGATCAACTACCTGAAGCTCCGCCTGCAAATCGCTAATCGTATAGCCTCTAATTTTGACTGTCCCATTCTTGTGCCAGATAGCAATGTTTTGTAGATCACTTCGAGTGACTGAGGAGTGTGGAAAACCTCTATCCTCCACGACTCCGATGAATTGTGACTGACTAGAGCCACTACGTATACTACCATCATGTCTCCTGATCATGACAGCATTGAGGCGGCCAACGGCATTCTTCCAGTCCGGATATGATTGAGCTGCTGTGCACAGAGACTCCAAGTATCCCCGGGTAGAATGGTGCCAGCCGTAGTGCATTACTACTGGCAAGCCCCAGTGCGCAGCAACGTTTGCTACCAGCCGCATACATCTTCGACTCTCCCTGTTCCATAACGCGTCCTGCTGTCCAGTCTGCTCCAGAGCGACGAGGTTCTTGTATGCGGGAGAGTCGGTAACTGGCCGGAATGATTGCAAAACTACAGATGCACAATTTTGCGCAACTTGCTGCCCCAAGACTAACTCTTGCGAAATTTTGTGCAGCTCCCGAGCTTTGTCTGCCGGCTTAAGAGGGAGTAAGCGCAATCGATATGACTCGACTTTCCGTAGCATACATAGCCGCAGCTCTACGTCGAGCGCATCGAGTTTGGCGAATTTGGACATGGTGGTCCGCTCTCCGCATGGAAAAGCGTGATAAAAGTTTACAGGAGAGTAGTAAGTATTTGAACGTTGGAATCGGGGCGCACGGGGCAGGTTTTGTCAGCGCGAGTTCGACTAGCGCTGGCAAAGTCTGCCCTGTGCGTAGTGCACTGGTTCGATGTTATTGGACAGATTCTGCAGGGTCGAAACGTCCTGCAAGAGAACGTCCACAACATGGATGCCAGATGCTGGTAAAGTGTGGGTCCAATATGAAATGTATCGCTATATTGTCATCTACGCTCTACCAAGCGCCGCACTTCTAGCCCTGGCAAGATTCGCTGTGGCAAAGCCAAGCCTGCTAGCTGTCACTCAGAATATCAACGGTCAGTTGAACTGCACGATTCGGCGAACTCGAATGTGCGCGGGAAGTATAAGTACAAGGACGTCAAAAGCATTGGACAGTCGCTCGCGTGAGCGTCCTACCGGCATCGAACGTCTGGCAACATCGACAAGGCGGCCATTCAAGTTGAAGACGGCGACGGCAATGACGAATCCACCCGTAACGTCCTGACTTACTTCAGCTGGAAGGACTATTTGCAGATACCTTTCAGCAGCAGCGAGACAAGTTACAACGTTCGTCGATACTCCTAATGTTGAGCGGCTATCTGAACGATTCTTTGGCTCGCTTGGTGGCAAAACGAAGATATCCTCAGGATTGCTCCCGCAATGACAGAGTAGCCGATTACCGACTGGCTTTGGAACCCAATGATGCCGTTTGACAAAGATCGTGTCTATGTCGCATTGTATGCTCGAAGGGTAGATCCAAAAATGCTTGAGCTCGAAGACAAGTGAGTTTGCCTTTTCAATTTTTGGATTTTGGATAATTCCAGCCTGCCGTCTAGGTATCGTTAAACGGTTGTCGTTTGTCCAAGATTCGAGGCGCATGATGCTGAAGGAATAGTCTTTCATGCCCGAGAACAAATGACGACAATCGGGGACGAAAGTCAGCAGCATGAGAAGGTGGATATCTTCCCGGCTGCATCTGATAGAGAACAACATGGCCGCCATACAGCGCACTGGGTAATGAAAGGAGGAGAGCGACCTCTGGAAACCAGTCGACAACTAACGTGAGCATGATCTTGTCGAAAACGCTCAAGGCCATGCAACCCAACGTCCCACCCTTACACATTCTTCCCATCCGGTTTCTCCATGGCCACATTCTTCTGTCTTTGGCTTGGTATTCAGCCGCCCATACGTACTTGACGAGGCAGCGTCTGTTCTAACGACCGTACTCCAGCGTAACGATGCCGCTGCGCTCGCGAAGAAGTAGAGTCCCAGTGCGACTACGGCCAATCAACGTCATCAGATCTTGAATTCACTATACGCCATAATGCTTATCCCTGCCATCCACCTGTCTTGGAGGGGTGGGTGGAAAGCTGCAGGTAATAGCATGTCGCCCGTTCAGGAAGCGCTACGGTAGCTGACATTGAACCTGTGCATGAATATATCTTTGTTTGTTGTATCGCTTACATAGAGGCTGTAGATCAAAGGTATTCCTGTCACTCTCCCTCATTACTGACCGGCCTAATGGCCTTGACCCCAATGCCTGTATATTTCTGCACCGGCCATTGTGTTTGGGAATTGATTCTGGATACCTAACAGTCGCGCAAATCCATATGGAACAAGGCTAAGCATGCCGAACAGTCTCCATAGCGGCAGGACGTTGGCCGTATAGTCCTTGACAGAAATGTCTCGAAAGCCCGCCGTATACAAAAGTCGCTCGTATTCGCCTTCCCTCAAAGTGTTACCGCAATGGGAGAGAGGGAGGATTTCTTGTAGCGTATGGGAATTCCAGTAGAAGTCTGCCTCGTGAAGCACAAGGACCCCTCCCGGACGAAGTAGTCGATAAAAGTTGTTGAGTACCTTAAGAGGCTCGTCGGCGTGTACAAATGTTTCCATCGTGTAAACACCATCAAAGGACTGATCTGGGAAGAGAGATACCGGAATATGATGATAGTCGGCAAGATGTACATCTACCAAGTCCTGTAGACCGCTTCGATGGATCTGACGACGAGCATCTGCAACGTGCCTAGGAAGCAGATCGATAGCGTCCACACGTAGTCGGTGGTTCGCTAAATAGCTAGCAACAATACCAGATCTAGCTCCTGCATTGAGCACTCTCGACCCATCTGCCAGACCAAGCCGGCTTTGAAGTTTCTCTTCCATAGTCCTTTGAGCTTGGCCGATGGGGAAAGGCCACAAAGTCCGTGGCTCCCAATAGCCACAGTGTCGCGCATTACCTAGGAGGATGCGATAGTCTAAGCGCGATTCGAGAGTCGTATAGTCTTCTTCCACCGTTGGATTTGCTTTGCATCCATTCATTGTGGCAGTTAAGCTGCACAGAAAGTCAACCCAAGAGGTCGGCGTGTTATATAAATTCGAGGAACACACCTAAATTTAGTGCCAACACAGGGACTATGACTGCTGGAAAGATCCTGCAACAGGACCAGTGGGTTTTTCGTCCCAGGAGACAGGACCAGGACTGTCGCAGAGAGATCAGTTGGTGCTACCCTTGTTGCCAATCAGACCTTGCGCGATCCTTTTCCTGCGGACAAGGGCTCGTCAACAACCCAGACACATGATCTGCATTTGTTCACCTGTCGTTAGCAAGTCTTGATGAGCACATCACCACATCTATTCCTGTTTACTCCAATCTTATGGATCACTCTCTACCTCATCAATTGGGAGCCCAGCCTCCACCCTACCAGAGCATCGCTTCTGATAGGGACGGTAACAACGAAATTTTAACACAGCAGAGACAAACGCTAGAGAGGCGCGAGACCCTCGTTCAAGATGGTGATGTCCAGTCAATTGTTAGGATGAGACGTGCGGACTTGTCTTACAATACTTGATACTCTGCGGAACTGCAACCGGACTCCATCAACCCACATCGCCGAAGACTTCCGTCGGAGCGCTACCTGCATGTGTTATGATGCTGTCTTTCGCCTGGCATACCAGTCCCGTCGGTCGCTCGAGCCCGGTGAGCTATCTTGCCACGTAACACGCTGGCTGTGGCCCGTAGCGACTCGGCCGTCGCCATCGGAAGAGACAGAGAAGGCGGAAACCGGCACAGGGCTACCACATCCTGCCTGAAACGGTGTCTCGTATATCTCTATGATGCTTTCCAATAGTGACAAGCTCTCTTCCTCATTCAGCTCCTCATTCCCTAGCTCCGGATCAACCATATGTTCAGGACTCTGTCGCGGTGCTTGATGAGGGACCTCGAAAGCTAAGGAAAAGTGTTGTGGTGGTACCGTAGGTGCTTCTTCCGTCTCAATTGTTGGGACAAGAACAAGACGGATCCTTCGACGCCAGCACAGTACAGCTAGTCCAATGCTAGCGAATAGGAACAGGCTCACGAGTGCAGCAGCAGTAATTCCGGAGGCCTGTGCTCTGGTCAGATTCCTCAGAGCTGCCTTTGCTGAAGTCGACTGGACGAGTACTGGGGTTTGGCTGGTAAAACTCGTTGTTGTAATGGTGATATATACAATGCTTGTGGGTAGTGCTGTTGGCATAATCGCCAGAGTTTTCGTTATGGTAACAGCTGTAGGGTTGGACGATGGTAAAAATGAGGTGTCTGTGAGATTTCAGGTCAAATGTATCGACTCGGTATTGCCTGTTTCACTGCTGTTCCAACTCTGATGTCGGTGAGCTAATAGTTGCGGGACCATGATCCAATATATGCTTGAGTTGGAGTGATATGGGCATTCTGCGCGGCATTACAGATCCTTATAGCCTGACAGCTGCGCGATGCGCCGCAATGATCTCGCTTCTTTGGCGCCGTGGCATGTAGATTCTACGGTTTCTTGCCACTATTGTTACTTACATGAGCGCAACTGGGATAGATGACCGTGGCACAGCGGCGCGTAGAATTCTGGACAACCCTTACGGCATCAGCCGACGTATCCCAAGCGCTGGCTAGCGCTCTCCAATTTGATCTTATCGTGTTCAGGTGCTAGATACCTCAAGGCGCAGCTATTGCGACTCGAGCACGAAGCAGAGCTAGCGCACCTCGTATGCTCATCGCCTCTCTCTCAAGCGCATTGAGGCGCAGCTCAAGCCCATGGATGTGTGGTAGCGTTACTATATCCGCCACTAGGTCGCCCGCTTCCGTTTCAATCATAGCAGACGGCTCCTGAACAATTGCTATGCCGTAGACGATTCCGGCCTGTATCTGAGGCTGTTGCATTTGCCAAGCCTCATATATGTGGGACACCTTGACACCGTCGGCGCAGTCGATCATTATGCACTTTTCGCTCCTGCCGCGCTTATCGAGCTGGTCTATCTTGAAAGTGACCAAGGCCGCTGGCGGTTGGAACAGCAGCATACCACTAAAGACACCGTTGGTACACATACTGCGTATTGCTGGAAGGTTGTCGCAAAGTATGCTGCTGGTGCCTCGAGCGAACAGCAGCTCATTCGATTGGTGGCTATCGGTGCCCACCTTCGGGCATCCCTCCAGATAAAGGCGCT